CTTGGGATTATAGAGCCAGACTTTGTCGTTCTTCTTAAAGCACCCCTTTTCGGCTTGCGTATCGTACGGTTTCTACATTCGGTCGCTAGAGATCTGAAGATGGGAACGGACCAATACGTGTACATCGTCCATTCTTCTTCGTAATTCGATCACATAATCTTCACCTGCTACATCTTCTCCAGGTCGACACCCAAACTCTAGATAACAAGGTAATCGTATCTCGCGTCCGAATAGGACCCTGGCTTGTGTCTGGCCTGTTGATTCGTTAACAGCAGATTTATAGGTCATTGTGAAGAACGGAAAATATTGGTCCCAGTCTCGCTGATGATCGGACGCCATCTTTGTCAAATATTTGCCAACTGTCCTATTCATCCGTTCTACCATACCATCCGATTGCGGATGATATGCTGTAGTTCTTGTTTTCTTCATGCCTAGTCTATCACATATTCCTTGGAATAGATCGCTTTCGAAGTTCCTTCCTTGGTCACTATGGATCTCCAAAGGCACTCAAAATCGGCTGATATATTCTTTGATCAACTTATCTTCAATGGTCTTCTGGTCTGGAAATGCGTAAATCTCGACCCACTTAGTAAAGTAATCCATTACTACCAACATGTACTTGCCTCCATTTTCACTTTCTGGAAATGGCCCAACAATATCCAAAGCTACTCTTTCAAACGGGCTTCCAACATTATATTGTCTCATAGCTCCTTTTTCGGTAAGGCTTGTTACTCGTAGCACAAATAGTACATTTCTTACACCAGTCTTTTACGTCGTCGGAACTGTTCATCCAATAAAACCGTTCCCGAATACTCTGAAGGGTTTTCTTTACACCAAAATGCCCTTCTGATGAACTGTCGTGTAACTGACGAAGTACTTCGGCTATTTTGCTCCTTGGGATCACCAACTGTCTTCTCTTCTCTGAACCGTCATCATTTTTCAGTACTCTTTTGAGCAAGCTATCTTCCATGATAAATGAGCCCCACTGGGCCAATACGTCTTAACTACTGAGCATAGGTTTGATATTTCTTGCCAAGGCAGTCAACGATTTTCCTCTTTCCATTTTCGAATTTTCTGTACAACTGGATCTCTCTATTGTTCTTCCCTCATCTTAGTACGCGTCCAGTCGTCGTTGACCATCGTTGTTCTTAGCATTGCTGCTTCCTTGGATTCCGTTTTGTTGCAGTGGGAACACTCTGTGTGGGCATGGCGTTCTGGAAAGAGAATCAGCGTTTCTGTAGCTATGGCCCGGTGCTCAATCCTGAAATCGTATTCTTGTAGTCGTTGGATCTATCTTTCTATCTGACCCTCTGGATTCTTAAACTGCATCAACCACTTAAGGGCGGCATAGTCGGTTCGGATTAAAAACTTCCTTCCATAGAGGTATTGATAGAAGTGCTCTACTGATTTTACTACTGCTATAAGTTCTCTTCTCGTGACGCAATAATTCCGCTTAGGCTTTGAAGGAACTTTACTAAAATATCCAAGGAATCGTTCCTGTCCTCCTTGAATCTTAGATAGCACTCCTCCAATTCCCACATTACTTGCATCTATATCTAAGATGAACTCTCCTTCTGGCAGTGGATACCCTCAAAATTTTAAAGTCTCAAAGGAATTTTGATAGACTGTATCCCAGCGGTAATCTCTTGCTTCCTCTGTCGCGTTAATGACTTAGCGATATCTGCAAACTTCTTAATAAACCTCCTGTAGTAAGTACATAGTCCAAAAAAACTTCTCACTTGATGTTTGTCCGTTGGTCTGGCCATTCCTTATTGGAATCGATTTTTCCCTTATCCACGGCCACTCCTTCTTTACTGACTATATGACCCAGATAATTGACTTTACCTTGAAATAGCTGGCACTTCTTGGGTATAACATCAATTGGGCAGCTTTAAGTCGATTAAAAACGTTTTCTAAATTCTTCAGATGATCTTCAAATGTCTCCCCCAAGACGATTATGTCATGTTTTCCAAGATAACCCTCTCAACATATTTTCCATAAGCCTCTCAAATGTCGCAGGTGCATTACAGAGTCCAAATGGCATAACGTTGAATTGCCACAATCCAGATCCTGCGGTGAAGTCTTCTCTTTATCTACTGTAACATATATACAATAAAATCCAAACAACTTTTATGGTACAGGCATGTAATGCGCATCAAAGACGAACGATGGCCAAAACAGGCTTTAAACTATGTTCCATCGAATAGAAAAAGAAGAAGAAGGTCGGCAATATAATGAAGATTAGAAATCAGAGGAATAATGAGAGATAGTGCAATAAAAGGAGGAACCACGTAGATATACAAGTTCTCGGGAAGAATTGCGTTGAGAATTTAATACTCGACGTTTCGGCACCCATCGAGAGGGATACGGTTACGTTCGAGTTCAAGGTCTCTATCTGCCAACTTTCTCACTCGTGACGTACCAGAGTACGCCATCTATTAGTTATATTGCGATTTAAAATGAGAGAAAATTATTTGAACATTATCTTCTACCTAAACCTCCTCCTGGTTTTGGACAAACATTCATTTTCATTAATATAGATTGATAGATATATTTATTAAAATCACCACACTGTTTGTCACATATATATGAGAAAACAGCACTTTTAACAGAATTTCTAATTATAAACCTTGCTTTATTAATTTGTTTACAATATTATACTTTGAAACACCATAAAATTAATTAGCACTTAAGTAATTAAATAAGCCTTAACGACCACCTTTCAAACATTTTTGAGGGTCAAAAAATCCTTGACAGCTACCTTGAATAATAAAATATAGGTAAACACATATAAAACGAAATTTAACAAAAAATATATGTATATTGCATTAAAAAATGTTTCCTCTAATAGTATTCAGTATTTTTAAAACTTCTTGTTTGCCTGCTGTGATAAAATCTGTAATGGATATAAATAATGCCCGAGGAAGTTTGATGTTAAATTTTTTTTGTATAATTTTACATTGTAATTATGTACTTTTAATATAAATTAATTTTACAAGAAGCAAATTATGAGCAATAAAATACGCAATCATAAATATAATTATGTTTTTACCGGTACTTTAAAACTCTTTTTCATAATAAATTGGTTCTATTTTTATTCTCTGGTCCAACAATTCTACTACTAGTACTTCGTTGTAAATTTATATTACTTTTTCTTCAATCCTTTAGTATGAAATTGGTGTTCTTCCTCGTCATTAACAACAATAAGGTGACGTTTATAGGGATCGTCTCATTATCTCTTATCCACGGATGTACGATGCAGGGACTGATCAAAATAAAGCATTCCACAGAGTTTGAAATCTCTTCAAGAGACAGAAGTTTCTTCTTTTTCTTCTACTGACTACAGCCCAAATTGAGCCTTGGCCTCCTTTATTTTTTGCCTCCACCCTTGCTTGTCTGTGGCTGATGTTCTCCATACACGGACTCCTACAAAGACTTGTGCGTCACTGTTTACTATGTCTTCCCAGCGCTTTGTTGGCTTTCCCACCGGTCTCTTTCCCTGCATTCTAGCATTCAGTGCTCTTTTTGCTAGCCTATCCGCTTCCATTCTTATCACATATCCAGCCCATTGCAGTCTTTGTATTCTAATGAAGTCTGACAGCAGTGCTTCCTTATAAAGTTGATAAAGCTCGTTGTAGTATCAACTTCTGAAGATTCCGTTTCCTCTCACAGGTCCTAGTATTCCACTCCTTTCGAATGTGTTGAGTTTGTTTTGGATGTCTCTTTTAGGACCCATGCTTCACTGCCATAACATGCTATTGGTCGAATTAAGGTTTTACAGATTCTCCTCTTTGTATTTCGGTGGACATTTTTAGAAATATGTCGGAGAGGGCAAAATAACCTCTGTTTGCTGCGTTATTCTCTTCGTATTTCTCCATCTTCTGATCCGTCGGCATATATTTCTACTCCCTCGTGTTTTTTGGCCGATTTTTCTGAGGTGATCCTTGTCCATCCTCCGTTTGGGCCGAAATTTGAGGTGAACATCGCTGTTCATTCTTAGCTCCGGCTTCAGGCTGAGGTGAACGTTTTGGTCCAGCCTCCGGTTGGGCCGAGAGTGGAGGTGAACATTGCTGTCCATCCTTAATTGCGGCTTCAGACTGAGGTGAACGTTCTGGCAGAGCCACGCTTTACCAGGGAAAGACTTTATATAATGGGGTTTGCCTGGTCCCCAGGGGGATCGTTCACGACCACATAAAACTCTGTGGCCATACTGCCATCGGCACGATTACCTGAAACCTTAGCTCGGGTAGGTTGCTTCTTGGTCGCAGAAGCAGTTCATCCATTCCTAGTCTCTCGAATACCTGTGAGAGATTCCCAGATACTTCAGAGAGCTATGTGGTGACAGGAACTGTTCTAGCGTGGTCGTTTCACATCTTTCTATACTTCCCATTAACCAGGCCTAGCCCGTTTATAGTGGGTACCTTCATTCAACGGAAAGCTGCTTATTAGTAAGATCCCATTCATTCACATACACACATACGTGTTCCACTTCCTACGCCAGACTACAGCCCTATCTGAACATTCAGCTTAAGCCTCCGAACCTACCTCAAGGTCGTGCAGCCCCTATCGGAGGTGACAAAACATATTGGCTTACCTTAATTGTGTAGCAGCAAATGATTTTACTAAAAGACTTTTAAACAAATCTGAAAAACTTGAAATTTCCTGAGTGATCATAATAATTTAATCACCTATTCTCACCTGTAAATATTCATATTAACCGTATTTCTTTGATTTTTGAATTTTAAAGTTTTTAAGATATTATTGAATGAATATATGTTTCTCAAATTTGAAATGTGTTTTTGATCTTTTAAAGTTTTTTAAAGCGTTTAAACGACACTGAAACTAATTACTTAAAAGAAAGATATTTCTATACACGAACTATTTAATTAAACATTTAAAACATGACGTCACTTAAAATAATAGTGCATGTTTATTCAAAACAAACGTTTAAAATACAACCAGTAAGTACCTCTACTTTACTAGTATTTCATTCGTTACAGAAAGTGTTAAAGAAGTACCAAAATGTTTTATAAAGGCGGGTAAACTGATTGTACCTTATGACAAATTGGCTGAGATCAACTTTTCGTTCTTTTGATTTTGCTTTTTCGTTATTATACCCCTTTAAAATTCTCGCTCCGCCAATCGGCGATCACGACGAAAATAAACAAGAAATCGATACTTCGATAAATTCCGCTCGCGAAACAAAAAGTGCTGATATATTAGATAACTGTGAAGATTGGGAAGATATCTACATCAAGATGAAGGCCAACTTGAGAAGAAGGAACAGTAAGAGGTTCGTAATTGGCGAGGGAGAAGATGACGAAGGGCTGCAACTACCTGATATTACTCTTACTCACGTGGAAAGCTCCAGCGAAAACCTGGAAGAGAAGTGGAATGAGCAGCCGATCAATGACCGATTGAGACTTCGCGTAAACCATCAGAACTCCTTAACGTAAGTTCGAACATTCCAAAAATTGCACGATTTTGTATACTATTTAATAGTTTAACATTAGATTGAAGGTGTAAAGCGTTGTTTATAAATAATAAGTAGTGTTTTGGCTACTGATTTTATCTTCTTAATACTTAAAACTTATTCATCATTCTGGCTTTACAACACTACGTGGGCCCTAGCCTCTTCAAGAATTTCTCTCCAGTCGTCCATATCCATCGCTTTCCTTCTTCTTCTTTAGATGCAAATCCACTAATGGATGTTAGCGATAACATTTTCCATTAATTCTCTATTTCTTGCAATATGTATCAGAGATTGTATGTCGTTAATCCCTGTCCATTGCCTTATGTTTCGGAGCCAGGACATTTTCTTGCGCCCCATTCCTCTCTTGCCATCAATTTTACCCTCGATTATAAGTTGGAGGAACTGGTATTTTTCATTTCGCATGATGTGACCTAGATACGTCGTTTTCATTTTCTTGATGGTTTCGAAAAGTTGGCGTTCTTGGTTTATTCTTTTAAGGACATCTATATTTGTGATTTTCGCTGTCCATGGTATTTTTAGGATACGGCGATAGAGCCACATTTCGAAAGCTTCTAATCTGTCTATATCCCTCGTTTTGAGTGTCCAGCCCTCTACGCCATATAGCAGCACTGACCACACGTAGCACTTAGTAAACCTTAGTCTCAGTTGAAGATCGAACTCTGAACAAGTCAGTTCCTTCTTGAATTTTATGAAAGCTTGTTGAGCTTGCTCAATGCGACATTTTACTTCCCTGTCCGATGCCCAGTCTTCAAAAGCCATGATCCCAGATATTTAAATTTACTCACTCTTTCAATGGACTTAGTATTCAGTGTTATGGTGGAGTTTTCAAGTGCATCCAAGTTTCTGGAGATGATTATAAATTTGGTTTTTTTGGTATTAATCTCTAATCCCATTCGCTTACTGTATTCTCCGACTATAGTGACAAGTTGTTGAAGATCGACTATGTTGTCACAAATTAAGACACTATCATCAGCATATCGTATGTTGTTGATCAATACTCCATTCACTTTGATTCCCATCTTTGCATCCTCCAAAGACTCTTGATATATGGCTTCCGAATAAATGTTAAATAAAAGACATCTTATGTCTTTTTGGTCTATATCAACTTTCTTGAGGATCTGCATTAACTTGTGGTGTTGGACACGATCAAACGCTTTTTGGTAATCTAAAAAGCATAGGAACACATCCTTCTTCTGATCGTAACAATTTTGGACCAGCACCTGTGTTGCTACTATTGCTTCTCGTGTTCCTAACCTTGCCTAAACCCGAACTGGGAGTCACTGATGTCCCATTCACATTTTTTGTATAATCTTTGATGTAGTATTTTTAAGAATATCTTTAAAGTGTGACTCATCAGGCTAATGAGTCTGTGATCCTCACATCTTTTTGCATTGACTTTCTTGGGCATGGGAATAAAGGTAGAGCGTAACCACTGTTGAGGATAGCAGCCAGTTTCATAAATTAATTTAAATATTTTGTGTAGTGCTGAAATTCTCCTTTCATCCAGTAATTTGAGTATTTATGACGGGATTTCATCTGGTCCAGGTGCCTTATTGTTTTTTGAATTTAATATTGCCTTTTCTATCTCCTCTTTAGTGATTGAAGGGCCAGTCAGCTTTCCTTCACCGAGCACGTATTCCCATATTTCCCATGTCTTCATTGATGTATTCAAGAAACCTTGTTCTGGGTCTGCCTCTTCTTCTCTGACCAATGGGTCTATCAAGTGGCGTTTTTTAGCTGGGTTATTTTGTTCCATCCGCATTACATGCCCTATCCACCTCAGACGTCATATCTTAATATGTTTTACGATGTCAGATTTTTGGTATATTCTATAAAGTTCGAAGTTGTATCGTCTTCTCGACATTGTCATTCATTGCTCCATAGATTTGCCTTCGTAACTTTCTTTCGAAACATCCTAACAAGTTTTCATTACTTTTTGTTAGAATACAGGTCTTTTGGTCCTTGACCTGGTTTACTTTTAAAAAAATGTACAATCAATCTTGTTCCGAATGTCATTGCCACTAAACAGTCAATTATCACTTTTGACATATCAAATTAGTTGGCTTTTAACTTGTCTACAATTCGGATGCAGAAAACTCTTTCGAGTAGGGACTTATATTCCCTTTAGGCAATATAAGTCCATCAGCACATAGCCAGATTGTTTAACAATTTAAGTTAATCCATTTAAACTCTTTGGTTTTGGGATTATTTTGAAAGTACTACAAACTAATTAACCACATGATCTAATAGTCAACATTTTCTATAATCTCTTCATGTTCATCTTTTAGTCTTAAAATTTCTTTTTTTATAATAAACTTTGTAATAAGCTATAGTAGAAGCCACAGGATGAAAATAACTACATCATGGAGTTGCCAGTATCTGTCGTGAATTTCAAACAGGGCATGACTCTTAATGTGCAAGTAAAATGTGTGGTGTTAAATGTATTGAACTTAAAAAATCATCTGAACTTAAAAAATGCTGACAGCTTGACTATTACTGTGGAAAAAGTTTCGAAAATGTGCGGTGTGAGTTTTCGTAAAATTTATGACATTCGCAAAGAGGCCCAGCAAGGCGAACTGAAACTGGTACCAAAAAGAAGGAAAAAGGTTTCCAGTTCAATTCACGTGAGAATACTTACGACGAGAGAGTGAAATCTCAAATTACGAAAATTGTTCATAAACATTTTTTTTTGAAAACATATCACCAACCTTGGACAGCATAATAAACAGAGTGAAGGATGATGAGAACCTACCAGCTTTTTCAAAAACCACGTTTCGTCGGCTACTAAATGATATGGGTTTGAATATGGTAAAATAGGTCTAGATTCGATAATGATGGAAAGAAAAGATATCATATCCTGAAGACATAAGTACCTCAGACAAATAAAATCATTGAAGAAGAAAGATAATGTAAATCTTGTTTATACTGATAAGTCTTGGATTTAAGTTGGTGCTTCAGACAAATAAGAATAGAGGGACACAACGATTAAGAATCCACGAGATGCCTTCATAAAACGACTCTCCTACTGGACTGAAAGCTCCAACCCAAAGAGGTTCTCGGTTTGTTCTTCTTCACGCTAGAAGCAAAACTGGTTTTGTGTCATGTACCAAATTAACTTTCTTGGCCAAGAAGGGAACCGCTGGTTACCACGACGAAATGGTCGGGAATCTATATGAAGAATAGTTTGGGAAGACATTAATTTCAAACTTGCCGAAAGACAAAGAAAACGTTATCCGAAGATTACCTAAAAAGTGAATTACTGGATACTGCTGCCGCATTTAGAGACGAGTACGACAAGTACAACATTGAAACAATGGCGGAAAAAGATGGCGTTAAGATTTTAAGACTGCCGTCTTACCATTGCGAGTATGTGTCTTCAAACCACGTCGATTTTAAAGAAAAATCGGTAGAACGGTTGATAAAAGAAGCTTACCAACGCGTATATAAAGATCAGTGCATAATTATGTGAACCACGTCAAGAAAGTAGAAAAAAAATGTTTGCGGTGGACAATTTGCAGAAAAGATATTGAACCGGTGATAATTAATATAGGAGATGATTTAGAGGTCGGGGACGATTTAGATATGGATTGAGATTAGTGTTAGTTAACGAGAAATGCCTCAGATTTAATGCTCATTTGTTTTTTTAATACTGTATGTACAGTACAGTACAAAATCTTCCGCATATCTATGGAGGAGTACAGGAGGGCGGATTATGGCGTAGACGCTATAATTTCGAACTTTACCGCCTGTATGACAAATCTGATATTATTAGGTCCATCAAAATAAATGGTTAGGTCACATAGAGAGAATGAATGGGATGGAGCCGCCAAAACATATTCATAACCATAGAATAGATGGAGTGAGGAGAGGGAGACCCAGAACACGATTTAAGGATGAGGTGGAGGAAGACTTGAGAATGTTGGGAGTACGAAAGCCAAAACGAAGAATAGGAGAGAATGGAGACTTATCCTTGAGCAGTTGTGGAGCTGATGGGTTGTGGGGCCAATGATGATGTACAGTACATTTCAGTTATGATCTTCTTGCAATTTTATGTATATATATTTATCGTATCGTATAGAGTATTATACAACTACTCGCATTTTTTTGTATATATACATATAAGTAATTACGAGGTATTAGATTTTTTATAACGAAATACTCAAACTACTCGAAGATAAGGGTAAACATTCTCTTCTGAGCCTCTTCAATAAAATATACGAAATAAGACAAGAAAGAAAAAGAAGATATTTTATGTATAAACCATTTTTTTATATAATTATTTCAATTAATGAGTAAAAATTTTATCATCTAGTCTATCGCCAAATACACCTTGCTCCAACTGATTATGCAGGGAAAGATCCAAGGAAGGAGAGGCATAGGGAAGCGTAGAATGTCATGGCTGCACAACCTGAGAGAGTGGTACGGATGTACATGAAATGAACTTTTTAGAGTAGCCGTCTCAAAAGTCCGAATAGCTGTTATGATTGCCGATCTCCGCCGCGGAGATGGCACTTGAGGAAGAAGAAGTCTATCGCCAAACTATCACACACCTACCACTGTGCCGACATGAGCGGCATCGCTGTGCGCCGTAGGACCGCCATATCATTATAACCGTGGCTTCTACTATAGTGAACCAAAACATCTTTATATTATTTATTCCCCTTTATTTGCAAATAAAGAATACTATTGTCATGCATTAAGAACCTGTACTTTGTTTCATAACAATGAAAAAACTCTGTGTACATGTAATACAGGGTCGAGTTAATTACTCGTTTAGTTGAGAAACACAACATATTTATGTAATGTTTAATTTGGAAGTTTTGGATACTTACTGATGACTAATTTTTACAAATGTTTTTTAGTATAATCTTAATAATTATACATATTTTAATTAAAAATAGCAATTTTACATTTTATTTGTACTTTTTTTAATAATTGTTGTTTTGTCATAGTGCACCTTGTTTCTATGAAGTAAAAAATAAATTACATGCAAATTAATGGAATAATTACAATAGTCGACAGGTGTTGCCAATTACAATAAGTTGTTCAATTTACGTCACACCATTAGCAAATTAAGTAATACATCTTGCTGATAAAAACTCTCTTGGAAGTTTTCCTTTTTTCTTATTCCGTTCAAAATGAGTCCATATTTTACATTGTTTAGAGTATTTAGCCAATGCTATGATCATAATTATAGTTTGAAGCAAAAAATCTTACTGCAGTCCTGATTTGTGTAATAATCTCACGTTAACATATTTATTTTTGTTTTGCAGGCCTAGTATGTCCCAAGGGACTGTTATGCTACATTCTAGACAAGAAGAAAAGAACTTCACAGTAGCTACTCCAGAAGAATTCGTGAAGAGGTTTAACGGAACTAGAGTTATTAATAAGGTATGTCCACACTGATTCTCTTGATGGTTTAAGTTTGATCTGCACCCTACAAAAGACAAACTACACATTCAAAAAATTTGAAAAAATTCAAGAAGGTATATGTGACAACCAGAAATATTTTGACAAATTTTGAGCACACTTCATGTGTTGGTTTTGGAAAAAAACTCAAAAAAACTACTTTTTTCCAAGTATAAAGCGGAAAAACCAGGCATACAATTTTGTTAATTTTCTTACAGCATAAAGATATAACCCTAAGAAATACTTATGAATTTTTTGAAAATTTTTGAATATACAGTTTTGTCACAATGGGAAAAAAATATTATGTTCCGGCTTATAATAAAGCTACCGTTAAGCAACCGGAAAAAATTTTAATAACAACATATATAAAACTGTAAAAGTAGAAAATATTTGTAATAAAACGTTGAGTATTTTTTCTTAAACATATGAAAAATCTCGTTAAACAAGAATTATATCTTGAACTCATCATCATCATCATCAATCAGCCCTGAGTTATCCATTGTTGAACATAGGCCTCCTCTAGATTTTTCCATCTGCTTCTGTTCTGCGCCTCTGCTATCCAATTGGTCACGATTCTTTTGAGCAGGTCGGTCCATCACGTTGGGGGTCTTCCTCGGCTTCGCTTGTCAGTCCGTGGTCTCCACTCAAACCTAATTTTTTTGTCCAACTGTCGTCTTTCATTCTTGCAACATGTCCTGCCCATCTCCATTTTTGCCTTGTAATATGTTCGATAATGTCTTCCACTCCGGTTCGTCTACGAACTTCCTCGTTTCTTATTCTATTTCTTAAGCTTATTCCAAGCATTGATCTCTCCATCTTTCGTTGTGCCCTTCTCAATTTTTCGGCTGATGTTTCTGTGAGAGTTAAGATTTCTGCTCCGTATGTGAGGACTGGTAGAACGCAGTGGTTAAAAGCTTTTGTTAAAAAAAAATATCTTGAACTGCCGCCATCAAATTGTAGCGTAGAGAGATCTGAAACGTGATTAATATCTATGTATCATCGATAGATTGCAGTACTTTCGTCCTCGAAACGCTTCAAACGAGTCGTAATACTGACAGGGTTGCCATATCAATTATTTTGTAACACTTTGTCAGATTACATCAAGAATTAATAAGAATGTTATCGGTTTGAATGAATTTTAACTGGCATGCTGAAACTTACGAAAGGGGAATAAATATTGATGGTGAATACTTAAGCCACTTGCGCTTTGCAGATGATATTGTCATTATAGCCGAGAGTTTAAATGAAGCTCACAAAATGATGGAAGAACTAAAACAGGCAATAGAACAAATAGGCCTGAACATAAACTTTAAGTGATGTTATGAGGGTAGATGGGAACGAAGTACATCAGGTATTTAGCTATATCTATTTAGGGCATGAAATTAGAATAGGAAAAGACAATCAAACTTGTGAGATCCAGCGTCGCATAGGCTTGGGATGGTCAGCATTTGGCAAGATGCGAGATATTCTAAAAGGAACGCTACCGATTTGCTTGAAGAAAAAGGTTTACAACCAATGCATACTGCCAGTAATAACATATGGTTCCGAAACAATAACTTTAACCAAACTTTCTGCAAATAAATTGAGAGTAACCCAAAGAAAAATGGAAAGAGCAATGTTGGGAATAACTAGAAGAGATATGGTACCAAATAGGATAGTGAGAGAGAGGACTAAAGTGACAGATGTCATAGAAAAAATTTCACAAGCCAAATGGAGATGGGCTGGACATATAGCACGTTTAAATGATAATAGGTGGACCAAAAGACTCATAGAATGGAGACCTAGAGAAGACAAAAGACACCGAGGTAGACCAGCAAAAAGATGGATGACGACTTGAGAAAAACAGTCGGAAATTGGATACAGAAGGCGCAAGATAGAGTACAATGGAAGAACATGGAGGAGACCTATATCCAACAGTAGATGCAAGAGGTTGAGGAATTTATGATGATGATGATCATGATAATGATGCTGAAACTTACAGAAACGTATTAAGTTTTTAAAAACCTATTTAGGCGTTTTTAGTTAATTATTTTAGTATTTATAAACAGTGGCATAAGAATATGTTCAAAATGTACAACGGAAAATAAATCCACAGCGGAATGTTTGCTCGCCGACAGTTGCGGAGGTGGTTTCTTAAAAACTAAGATCTCCACTGAATTGTGTCAATAGAAATGTTGAGTCAATATTACAAAGAGAAAAGTTTGTTCGCTATTATTGTTAGAGAAAAATGAGATATTTCGTCACGTGAGGTGTGACAAACCCCAAGTTGAAAATATACTCATTCCTATATCTCGTAGATTTTGATAATAATATGTAATACTATAGCTTCAGGATATATTACTGTAATAAATTCCAGAAGAACATTAGCTAACAATAGTTTACTATTGAACATATATAGCCAATTATATGAAATACCAATTTTTTTTGCCCATAAATTTTGCCCATGTGAAATAACACGATGCCACATCATGTTCTAAACACAAAAAAACTTTTCATGCCTCACACACTTATCCGGTTTTCCTGTCTCTCTTTCTAGAACATCGTCCCTGCTGATTAGGTTTCCTCTTCTTTGCAGGCGATTGGGAATTTTCACCTAAAATCTTTCGGATACTGCTTATCAACTCTCTAGATAATTTAGGGTTAAACATTATTTCTCTTTGATGTTTTTCGATCAATTGGAACCCAGTTTCTTTAGGAAAAGCCTTCTAGCAATGTTAGGACTATCGTTGTTTTGTTTGTGAAAGATCTGGCTATTGATTCCTGCATTGTTAATAAGAGGCTAGCTCATAAATACTTATTATTTACATACTGTCACTGCCAAATATTAAAATTTGTTAGATAACTTATTCTGTTCAACCTCAAAAAATGGCTCCACATGCTAGCAAATACTAAAAGCAAGAATTGTAACAAAATTAGAAGATGGTTGGTCACTATCTGCCATAGCGAACCATTTTAACGATAAGCAGAACAACAGTTTTTATCATTAATAAAAGACGGAGAAAACAAGAAACACTCGAAAGAAATCAAGGTTCTGGAAGACCAAAATTATCTACCGTTCATGAAGATCGTACGGTTTTTGGAAAGATTAGAAGAAAATCCTTTTGAAGATGCGAAAACTGCAAGAATTATGTCATAGTTTTCGAGAAGAAAGACAACAACTTGGCACAGAATTAAAGTATCGTCTCTTAGGTACCGAACTGCAGCAAAAAAACAAGCTCTTACACCACAACAGAAGCAATCACAGCTACAATATCAAGATTTTTGGAACAGAATAATATTTACAAATGAGAAACATTTTTCAATCTTCTAAAAAGGGCAACATTGTGGTGTATAGACCAAATAATAATAGATTTAATCCTCTATATGTTCATAGATATCGAGCAGCTGGTCATTTTAGCGTCAATGTATGGTGATGGATTTCATTTAGAGGAATGGGAATGGTATGGTGTATTGATGGCAGGTTTGTTGGGCATACTTATTCAAATATTCTAGAAAACATCATGTTTTTCAGTTTAGAACACTTGTGTATCCAGAAAATAATTTTGACCTCCAATAAGATAATTGTCCTGTTCACACTGCAAATATAATAAACCAGTGACACAGAATAACAACATCGAAACCTTACCATGGCCCAGCTACAGTCCAGATTTAAACCCAATCGAGAATGTGTGGGGGGCTATTATGGTTATTATAAAACGGTTGTATCGACGTAATTTTATACCTCAAAATATTGAAGAGCTGTAACACGGTATACAACAAGTTTTTGGAAAAGTTCACTGAAGAAGACAATTTCATAGTTCCTTTCACGCAGATGGACCGAAGACTACAAGCTGTTATCAATACTGATGGAGATATTACAAAATATTAATTTTATTTTTACATACGCTTTCTTTCCAGAGTTTCTTGCTCCCTGCATTTTTATTAATAGAAAAACTGTGGTTCTGCTTATGTTAAAATGTTTTGCTGCCTCTGATAGTGCCCAGTTATGTTTTAATTTCGTTACAATAGTTGTTTGTTTTATTCCTTAGTAATAATAAAAATAATAACAACAATATTATATGTATAAACTATCATTTAAGTATATACTGTTTATAAAATGCAGGAATTTAAAATAATATCAAAATTTAAACCTTAATAATTATTACAATTCATGATTTAACATATGTAATCAATTGTTTGTTGTTTGTTTGTTTATTTTATTATTTGTCTGTCATAATAAATGTAATATAGGGTGTAGAAAAAAAACATCGCATTGCATATTGTAAATTGGGATTTTTTGAATGTCACTCAATGAAATATATTTTTTTACAGGTACTAATAGCAAACAACGGAATAGCAGCAGTAAAATGTATGAGATCAGTGAGAAGATGGTCATACGAGATGTTCAAAAACGAAAGGGCGGTGAGGTTCGTCGTAATGGTGACTCCCGAAGATCTAAAAGCCAACGCAGAGTACATCAAAATGGCGGATCACTATGTTCCAGTACCAGGCGGAACCAACAACAACAATTACGCCAATGTCGAACTTATTGTGGACATCGCTGTCAGATGTCAAGTGCAGGTAAGGTTTTATATGGTTGAATATAACATTATTTTTATTAAAAAACCGTAAATCAATCATCTTTGTATATTTTATTGCAATTAAACTGCAGCAATACTGTATATAGTATTTTCCTAAATTTTTACATATGTAATTAGAATATATCTCTTATTCACAAAATGATCAGATTATTGAACATTATTCACGACAGACATACTTTATAAACCTACTTATTAATCTCCTGTAATTATGACAGGATACAGATAATCATTCTTCTTCTTCTGTCAGAGGCCATTCTAATTTTATTCACAGTTGACCGGAACTTATGTTATGCCAATCCCTTGAATTTCTAAGTCAAAAATTCTCTTTTTTTCAATATGTGTGTATAATAATTAAACTTTTCTATTTGTTAAAAATTAAATAAAACAATCTCATATTAAAAATTACATTTTCGCAATTGATTATAGACATAAATATATACAGAATTGAAATCGAAATAGAAATGAAATAAAAATTGAAATGTGTTCCTCAATATATTTATTTATTTATTAGAGAGAGAGAGAGAGAGAGAGAGAGAGAGAGAGAGAGAAGTTTATTGCTTTTAAAATGAGATTACATTTATAAAACACAACATGGTATAGTACAAACAAGGTACAAGATACATTAAAATACTAATTATAAAATTTCCATAATTAAAGAATATATATCAATTAGCGCAACTTTCCTCAAAAAATTCCTCTATACTATAGTAACATTTAGATAATAAAAACTACTTGATTGTTCTTCGGAATACAAAAATATTGCTTGAGGATCTTATATCGAGTGATAGGTGATTAAACATTTTCTTACCAGTGTAAATAAATGATTTTTTTAGTTTCAATCAATCAATCAATATTCTTTATTTCATCTGACTTTTACAAGTATTGAAATGCGTCAAAATACAATCTAAAAAACTATAGGTACATCTTCTTCTTGTAGTGCCTATCCGTTTCGGATGTTGGCGACCATCATGGCAATCTGCACTTTGCACACTGCTCCTCTAAAAAGATTTGTGGTTGTCGTGTTGAACCACGTTCGTAGATTTTTCAGCCAGGAAAATAGGTACATAGGTAGTAAAAAAAGTTAAAACTATAAGCACATAAAACATAAAATATACACAAAAACATACAAATTGTTATAAAGATGCCTGCAAGTATTCCTCTGACGAATAGAAAGTGTTTGCCAGAAGTAAGTCCTTAACTGTTCTCTTAATAAAGATGGGCGTTATATAACGTATTCGGATAAATAACACTATTACCAATAAGTATTCGTTTTTTCAATAATAGGTTACAGCAAACTGTCTATTACTTTTGTCACAGTGTAACTATAACGTTAAAAGCAGTGGTATTCGAATTGGCATTCGATATATTGACGTGACAACATCGAATGATAGGAATTGAGAATCGTTTGCTCAACCGGTATAGGTAATAGAATAGGATGGTCATTGTCACCGAATTTATGATGAGCTTTATCACGGAGCTTTATTTTTTGCCACTTAAATAGCTGGTAATACCACCGTAAGCACGTACGATTATTAAGACGGAGACTATGTTTATTTTTTTATAGTATGTTATTAGAATTATTCTTGTCCTTATTCTAGTGTAGTTGTTTGTAGTTAATGCAAAAATTAATTCTCGAGTGCCTGTACGTTAATAATATTAAGTAGTTTATTCATTCACGGTTAAAACGAAAATAAACTATGTATAAACAGTAGGAAGCATTCATTTATTGAAAAAGATATTCTACAAGAAACTATAAATAGCAAGCCAAGCGGAATGGAGCTGCTTGCAGCTTGGGTAATAGGCGACAAAAGTAATAGGTTACCGGAACCTATTACCTGTCTGTCACAGGAACGATGGAACCTATTACTACAAAGTAACTGTATTTTCCATGGCTATCTCTTAAATACATAAATATATGACTCTTTTAACATAATTAGGTAATTTATTATACAAACTAACGCATGTTGGGTAAGGACCCTTGCCCACAACAGTCAAGTGACGAGCAGGGGTCACCAAATCATTTCTGTAACGAAAATTGTAGCCACTCATTAAGGAAACATCATTTCTGCAAATCAAATTACATCTATGTGACTTTACATAAACAACACAACTGAAAATATACAGAGAAATTACAGTTAAAATATTTAATTTAGCATTTATACCCTCTGAATATACAAGTAAATTCAGAGATAAAAGGCAGTTATTTATGTTGTCTTTAAACTTTTTATACTTAAACGAAAGTATAAAATGTGTTTCTAATATTTCATGGGTAACTATTGTGTTCATAAACGTATTTTTATAGTTTGTATAATCATTTTATAACACAGTCGTAAAATTCACAACATAATTGTTTTCCGGTAATGACTTTCCCCTGCCTCTAAATTTGTCATATATTTTATCATAAATAGATTACAGAATCTAATAACAAGAGTATAGTAGTTTGCTAACGTCATAATGAGTTAATGAACCAAAAACAATAATTACTTTTTATGACCCTACTCAGTTTCACCTAATTGAAAAATATTTATTATCAGTTTTAGAATCTTTTTCAATATGTTCTAACTGCTAAAATTACAAACTTGTTCTCTTTGCTATCAGTACATAATATATTTATGAGGCGTTTATTTTTTTAGTTAAGAAAAACAAATAAACTTTGTGACAACAATTTTATTTTTACACGAAAGGCCAAAGTTTACCGTCTGATTTGACAACCACTACAACACGGTGATTTGAGGATATCCTCATCCTCGTAGTCACTGGCTCTAGATCGGTCCTCCATACATAATAATGAAATTTCAGGCATTGTGATGCCGCCAAACGATTTTCATAAACATTCTTTTGGCCATCTTTGAAAGCTCCTATCCGTTCGCATACAATTCCATCGCTCATATAATGTTTTGCCCGTACTTTTACAAATCTGATGGTGAATTTTAACTTCTATCGTGTCTTCAGCACTTAAAAAAACGAAGAACTAGTATTTCATAGTCGATAGAAACATTTACATACTCAAACAGAAATTTATAAACGATCAATTGTTGCCGGAATGGTAGTAAGAGGTATGAAGTTTGAAATGGAATAAAACGAAGATAATTTTTATAAATTGACATGAAATTGACTTTATTCAAAAGGTGATCTCTTGGCATTATAATTTAATAATGAATTCTGGCATATGACCGTCACGGCTGACTCTGACGTAGTCTAATTTGGAGGTCCAATTTTCGATCACTTTTTCCAATATTTGTCGCCGTATGTCGGCAACAACGCGACGAATGTTGTCCTCGACATCGAAACGACAGCTCCTGGTTGTCAATTGGGGAATGAAAAAGGCAGTAATCATGGCTCTATAGTGGTCACCATTGACTGTAACATTCTGGCTAGCATATTTTTAAAGATGTACAGTCCAATGATTCCACCAGACGATAAAACACACCAAACAGTCAATTTTTCTGGATGTGATGGTTTCTCAACATACATTTGAGGATTATCTTAACTTCAAATAGGGCAGTTTTGTTTGTTGACGTAGCTATTCAACCGAAAGTGAGCGTCATCGCTAACCAAAATTCGCTTATGAAAATCGGAATCAACGGCAATCTCGTTTTGGATCCACTCACCGAATTTACGAATCTACGCCTTGCCAGATGATAATGTACCTTCAATTCTTGCATTAGTTGAATTTTGTAAGCACTCAAAGCAAGATCTTTCCGCAAAATCTTCCATAGAGTGGATGAACACGTATCCAACTGCTGTGCACGATGGATTGATTCGGGTCTTCGTGTATGCTACGCTCTACAACAACAACTTCTTCTGTACGCACTTTACGACGTGTCTGTGGATTCATATTATCATTTAAAGTAAACGTGGTGCAAAACGTTGCATGGTTACTCGAATTACTGCTGTGGTGGACTATTATGTTCGCCATAAAATGGACGTAGTCCAACAGAACCACAATTTTCAAAATAAATTTGTACAATTTGGAAGCCTTGTTTAGGCGTCATGTCTATTCATGTTAAAATGCCAAACCAACCTTAACATAAATCACTTGACAGCTGTCAAAATGGCCGATAGTTAAAAAATTGTTACGAACTTACATTTCTATACCTCTAAAAAAACACCATGTCAAACATTACGAAAATATCGTGACATCACCTGAACGGTCTATTAAAAATACAACAGGTTAAAAATATTAACTTAATTTTCATAACCTAATTACGAAATAACTAGCTTTCATTTTTTTTGGATACACAAGCCTCCTTGTTTAACAACAAGCGACTATTGAAGTATGTGTTGACAAGAAAAGTAAATATCGAGCTACAACACTAGAAGAACCTGGTGATATTTTTAGTTTGTAAATAATTCAATTTACCTGTCCTGCTTTTTAAACAAGCTGTAATTGATGATCATAAAATAAAGCTTGTTCTTGGAATGTCAGAAACGGTTCAAGGCATACCAATTATATCAGAGATAATTCTTCGACTTATATCCAAATTGAACATAATTCAAACTTCTTTTAGGCTGTGTGGGCCGGTTGGGGACACGCCTCCGAGAATCCGAAATTACCTGAATTGCTGCACAAAAACAATGTCGTGTTTATTGGTCCAAACGAAAAAGCTATGTGGGCTTTAGGAGATAAGATCGCTTCCTCATTGGTTGCTCAAACCGCAGAAGTACCTACACTACCTTGGTCTGGTTCAGGTAAGTCGTTTTTATTTATGCATGTTACAAAATTTTTATTATGCTATTCTAGAATGTATCATCGCGGCTTAGATTTTTCGATATAGTTTCTTACTTGCTTAATACAGTGAGTACACTTGACCCGGCTATGCTCCAAATTCTTTAACCCGTCTGAAAAATACGTTTTCTCGAGATCTGCAAAGCAGGCTTCAGTGGCGACTATGACTTCCTCATTCGACCCAAATTCTTGCTAGGCGAGTGAATTTTTTAAGTTTAGAAACAAAAATAAGTCGCACGGTGCCAAACCTGGAGAATACTGTGGATGGGGTAACAGTTCGTAGCCCAATTCGACCAATTTCGCATTGGGTATGGTAGTTGCGTTATTATTGTGGAAGAGCACTATTTTCTTCGCCAAATGGGACCGTTTTTTCTACAATTCGGCATCGAATCGGCTCAATAATTCGTCATAGTAGAGCCCTAGGAACGTTTTGCTCTTCTCTAACCTAGATTCTCAGAAAACGATGGCCTATCCTGTCGATAGGATAGTGTTCGCCTTCTTCATAGCACGTTTGCCGGATGAAGTCCACCGGTTCGACTGTTCCTTGTCCTTGGTGTGTACCAGTGATCTATGTTTTGTCCATTGTACACAACGCGACAGTGTGGATTATCTCAAGGCATAGTAACAGTGCATAGAACAGAATTTTACTGTACCGTATACAGTATACAATATGACGGCTGTCCAACGCCCCAAGTCTTTTTCATTTTCAATTCTTCACAACTCCAATCATCGTCATGGTTAAGTTAGGGTAGACATATTTTTATTCCAAATCAGTCAAAAGTCATTACTCAAGGGGTTTTCCAAGTCGACGAACACGAATATTATGACAGCGATGATCCTCGAGCAACCTAGAGTCCAGTATGGACCTCACCTCCTGGTTTTTATTTGAAATTAGTCAAAAGTCTCCCCAGTTCTCTCCATCTTTCCCTATCTTGAGCTGTTCTCATGGCAGAGAACAGCCCAGATAGGGAAAGATGGAGAGAATGGAGAGACCTATATCCACAATGAAGGATAGAGAATAGGTTCAAAAAAAAAGCAAAAGTCATTACTCGCTATTTTTGGGGTTGCTGATCACTAGTATTATGACTGCGATGATCCCCAAAGTATCTGATGTCCAGTGTGAACCTCGTTTCATGAAGTTTTTTGTTAATTTGTTGAATTACGGTTCTTATTGACATAAAACTCTAGGAGATGATGTCCTCCTGGGCACCAGGTAGCTCGAGAACCATCGTTCTCATAATATTTGTATTCAGCGACGTTGAAAATCTCCGAAGAATAACTTTCGAATGATTTCGAATGAAAATAACATAAAACTCCAGAAGACGAACTTAGTTCATTCAATTTTTACTTCATCTTTCCTTTTTCCCTTCATGACATTTTTCGTATACCATTTGGAAGATCCAAATAGACACTGAAGCGTGACCGTCATTTCTAAGAACTTTTGGCTATAATTTTGGAACTATATTGAGTTGTGCCATCGTTTTTATATTTTTTTGTTCTCTTTGAAAAATTACAATGACAGAATAGGATTTAGGGTGATAACTGCTAATCAGGCAGCTATAATACAGTTTTAAGTAACAATTGTCACAGATACATTTAATCTTGATAAAATAACAAAGATAAAAATGTCAGATACTTTTAAGACCTATTATACTTATCACTTTTTCAGTAGGAAAAATGACTAAATAACTTAAATATATATTTAGATGGTATTACCACAGTATAACAAATCAGATATTATTTAAATAATTATATAGTAAATATAGTGCCCATTATATTTGTAAATGTTCTTTTTTTTAAATACAATGCAAAGCTTTTGATTAATATATTTATAATTATAACGTTAAAAACTGATTTGATAAATTTTCCCACATTACTCCCTGTGAAAAAATGCCAACTTCATAAAGTGTTCATTAAATTAACTTAACATACAAAAACGTAATAATTTTAAAACGCCATTGCTTTTCTTTGTTCTAATTCTTAAAATAAAGTTCTTTTTATAGTGAGAATTATTCCGAGTAATAAAGTAACAAAGTTGAAGTATTTTTTTATATAGGTAGAGAGCTGTGGCAGTAATGTTTGAACCATTTTCTTCCGTGTGATACTATAAATTTAACTATAGATTTATTTTTAAACGTACAAAGTTATGTTTTAGACTGACTCCTTAAATTCTAATCGCATTTATATATATTTCGCTTCACTCTTCGAAATGAGTCCAGAATCAGTGAAATTCTCGCGACGGTATAGTTCGAATAGTCGATCGAACGCGTAGTATGTTCCTTCAGGGTCGTAGTAAGGGCTTGGCGTAATAATACCTTAATAACCTTAAATCAAAACAGGCAGGAAATTTCAAATCCGAGAACATTTACATATTGTTGTTGTTTGTTTGTGTTTAAATGACTGCGGACACTAAATCCATTCGCCAATTTTACAATTTGAGGTGTAGTGTGTGTGTGTGTGTGTGTGTGTGTTGTGTGTGTGTGTGTGTGTGTGTGTGTGTGTAGAGTAATTGTCTTGATACTTAGCAAAGTTGACGTCGTTGTCTTTGCTAAGAGACGCTAATTGTATCCGAACGTCTGCGGTCCCTCCGGTGTGTACCGATCACACAAGGATAGAAATTATTTTCATTTATTAATTTTTTTAATAAACGAAAATTTCCACCCAGGTGGGATTCGAACTCACGACCTTTAGGTTTTAAAGGCAGGCGCTCTTAGATGTATAAAGATTCTATAAGAATCTTTATACATCTACTATACAGAACCCCGAAACAGACCACAGAACAATTCTAAACGTCGGCTCGGAAACCCTCCCTAAAATAACCTCTTCGGAAATTAGACATGCTTTACAGCAAATGAAAAACAAAAAAGCTCCCGGCGAGGATCGTATAACGTCTGAAATGTTAAAAATGGGCGGCAACATCGTTGTAGAAGTTGTGGAAGTCTTACTGAATAAGTGTCTAACAGAAAAAAGAATACCCAGCCTATGGGAAAACGCCGAAATAATACTTTTACACAAGAAAGGAGACACTACTAATATTGAAAACTACAGACCTATAAGTTTGTTGTCACACTTATACAAATTGTTAACAAGAATAATAACCAACCGCATAACACAAAAACTTGATTTATATCAACCGGTTGAACAGGCGGGATTTAGAAAAGGGTTTGGCGCTAATGATCACTTACAAACCATCAGAACACTAGTAGAAAAAACCACAGAATATAATGTACCTTTACATATGGCATTTATCGACTTTCACAAGGCTTTCGATAGTATTGAGACTTGGTCCTTTTTGTCAGCCCTGAAGGATGCTCGAATAGACTCACGGTACACTACACTCATTAAAAACATTTATGAACAGGCCACATTCCACATCAAAATCAATGAAGACGAAAAAACTGAAAAAATGCGCCTTGATAAAGGTATTAGACAAGGTGATACTATTTCACCAAAGCTTTTTACCTTAGCATTGGAAAATGTATTCAAACAGCTTGGCTGGGAGGAAAAAAGGTCTAAACATTGATGGTGTACGTTTGAGTCATTTGAGGTTTGCGGATGACATAGTATTATTTAGTACAGATATCAAGGAACTGGAGCAAATGTTGAAGGAATTAAACCAGCAGTCAAATAAAATAGGTCTCGAAATGAACCTTCAAAAACAAAAATAATGAGTAATTTACAAACTAATCTTGTTATTGACAACGTCAGTCTTGAAAATGTAGACCACTATATATATCTTGGACATACCATTAAAATCGGCAAAGAAAAATCAAATAGCCGAAATAAAAAGACGCATACAACTGTCTTGGGGAGCTTTCGGCAAATTAAGCTTTATTTTGAAGAATAAAGATATACCAATGTGTCTAAAACGTAGAGTTTATGACAAATGTATCTTGCCTGTAACTACATATGGACTGGAGACCATGGCCCTCACAAAGAAAACCTTAGAGCAGCTCAGTACAACCCAAAGAGCAATGGAGAGGGCCATGCTAGGGATTAGTTTGAGAGACAGGATTCGAAATAACGTCATTCGTGAAAGAACAAAATTACTGATGTCTCAGAACGTATTGCAAGGCTCAAGTGGCAATGGGTCGGACACGTTGCCCGAGAAATCCCGAAAAATGGACACAAAGATTAACAAACTGGAGACCAAGAGAGAACAGGCGAGGAGTAGGCAGACCGCAGAAGAGGTGGACAGACAATATCAAACAAGTCGCGGGCAAGCAGTGGATGAGAATTGCCAAAAATAGAAATCGATGGAAGCAAATGGAAGAGGCCTATGTCCAGCAGTGGACGAACACAGGCTGAAGAAGAAGAAGAAGCTCTTACCACTGCGCCACAGAGGGGGTTAACATTTACATATGCATTAAAGGAAACTAGTATGTTGAACACACAAAAAAACCCAGAAGAAATGTGGAAGAAATGCCATAGAAACCTCTGTAGAAAGAATCAGAACCGAAAAAAAGATTATCAAAAGAAAACACTGGATGGCAGACAGAACGCTGCAACTTCTCGAAGAGCGAAGGAGAATCAAATCTCTCATATATCAAAACGACAGCAACAAAAACGAATTAGCAAGGTTAAATAGAAAAATTAAAAGAGCATGTAGGGATGATAAAAATAAACATATAAATGAAGAATGCGAAGAACTAGAGAGACACGCAAACCGGTATGAATCCCATGAGCTATATAACAAAGTCCGATATCTATCCAAGGAATTTAAACCAATCACACAATAATGGATCATAACCAACATATTATAAATGACGTGAAAGGGATTGCGGAGGTATGGAGAAAATATTGTCAAAGTCTATATGCAGATGATCTCCAGAATGCAAATCACGATGAGTTCACTGCAATGAGAGAACCAAACATTTTAAAGTCAGAGGTAGAAAAGCAATGAATAAGTTGAAAAATAGAAAATCTCCTGGCGCAGACCAGATCACCGCAGAAGTTTTAAAAGAGACAGGAGATGTTGGAGTAAATGTTATGCATATGATCTGCAAAAAGATTTGGAAACCGGAGAGTGGCCCAACGACTGGACAAAACATCCACTTTCATCCCTATAATCAAAAAAGGAACTCCGCTAGATTGCAGCAACTACAGAACAGTAACCCTAATATCACATGCAAGCAAGGTTCTACTTCATGTAATACATGAAAGAAGCTTATAAGGGTAGAATATCAGTAGGAGGTCAAAAAAATCAGTAACTTGAGATATGCTAATGACACTTAATAATCGCGACATTGTAAGATTTGTAAAAGTCAAAGACTGTCATGGCTGGGACATGTGCAGAGACAAAACGATGCAAAAACAACAAAGAAAATGTTACTGGAGCCATGGAAGGCAAAAGGCCTATGAGAGGTTGGATGACGTGGAAGACGACCTGAAAACAATGAACATAAGACAATGGAGAAGAAGGGCACAAGAGAGATCTGAATGGAAGGACATAGCCAGACAGGCAAAGACCCATCCAGGGTTATGATGCCAAAAGAAGAAGAACTTCAATAATCGCGACAAATCAAGAAGAAATGGAAGACATAATGAGATGCCTGGAGGAGAAAACCAAAACATATTGACTAAAGATAAATAGAAGTAAGACAAATAAACTAGACGCTTTTGAGATATGGGTATACCGCTGCATGTTAAGAATATCCTGGATTGATCATCGCACTAATGTATCGATATTAGAACAACTTAAAGTAAAGGATAGATTGCTTAAACAAATACAACAGAGATATTTGCAGTATTTTGGACACATCGCTAGAAGAACAGATACGATGGAAAAACTGATAGTCGAGGGTAGAGTTGAAGGAAAGAGACCTAGGGAAAGATCTCCAAGATGTTGGGTAGATCAAACAAAAATATCGATTAACCAAGGGTTACATGAGAGCCGAACAACTAGCCCAGGACAGGGAAGGATGGAGGGAAATCGTGAAAAAAACTGTAAAGGTCTGATGGAGTCACCACATCCCAAAAGGGATTAGGACTGAGGAGGAGGTTTAATAAGACAATAACTAATGTCACTTTCATAATAAGTAAGTATCATGAGATTTAAACTGTACACAAACGTCCATATTATATATTTTTGTTGTGTTATTCCACTCTCCAGGTAGTTTCAATCGGTAAAAGATGTGTTGGAAGAATTTTATAAAATAAATAAGTTAACAGTGGTATGCAGTGTAAATTAATAAATGCAATAACACCAAGGATACTCGCAAAAAAGCAAATGATACGCTATTTTTGACACATTTTTCCGCAGAAACGGTATTTACAAGTTTGCGTGGACAAGTTATGACAATATCGTTTAGGCATTACGCCCTTTTAAAGAATGGTTGCTTCCTTTTTTAACGAGAATTGGAAGTGGAGATTTTGGAGTTGCTAGTGAGAAGATATCGTGTCAATCTGCAAGAATAATTAAGAACTGATATTCAAACACCAAATCCTGACCATGCAAGCTTACATTTTATGTAAACGATGGACATTACTATCATTTCTACTAGTTACAATATTTTCAACGATGGGGAAATTATTGTACCAGCAGATTTAGTTCGCCCAGCTCCCTAACTATACACTTAGCATATTATAGAACTTGAAATAATAAATTAGATAACCATTTTATTGAAACAGGCAAAATGTTGAATTATATTACTACAATCACAGTAATAAATATTTAATGTGGCATAAAATTGTAACAGGAAATTGACTTAGCTGTATAATTATTTAATACGGGGTGTACACCGTTTTAATTCCCTTCATTGAAGTAAACTGCGATTTCTGGAATACATGAAAAAAAAACAAGGAAAAGTACGGGCTATAATACAGTCTGGTGGAACATCGGCTTAAAGAGGATGAGGTCGAAAGTCCGAAGCCTATTTAATAAAGCCAAAAGTACCCAAGGTTGGGATGCCTACAGGTATATGCTAATGATATTCAATAAAGAAATTCGCAAAGCCAAAATGAATTCATGGAAAGAGTTTGCGAGGAGATTACAGATATTCCGGCATGTTCTCAAATCAATAAAGTCCTGGCAAAGGATGGTGATACAACGAAAGAAGTAGGTTTCCTAAAGAAAGCTAATGGCAAATTATGGCAACAAAATGGACACCAAGGGAAATCTTAGAAACTGAGCGTGAAAACACGCACTTTTCGGGTTAACAATTCTGGATGATGCAGATAGGCATACCAACAGACCAAAGGCTCACTAGCCAAGTCTACAGATTGGGAAATAGCCACAGCAATCACAAGATTGCTATAAATAAATTTCGGCTATATAAGTCTCCAGGGACAGATACTGGTGCATATGGGATTGGAGATATTGATACCACACCTATGCAAGCTCCTCAAAGCCAGTTTGCATGAGGTCGTACCGGAAATATGGCAAAAGGTTAAAGTTATATACCTGCCTAAGGTAGGTAAAGTATCAGACAGAAAGGCTTCCTTGATAGGTACATCAGAGACGAAGTGCTAAAAGATAATTCTCTAAGCAATCGTCAATGTGCATACCAACCTGGTAAATCTACGGACTCTGCGTTGGATGATCTAAATAGGTTTATGTCAAAGTCAATGGAAGACAAAGAGATAGCAATGGCCGCTTTTTTTAGATATAGAGGGCATTTAATAATGTTATTACACTCTATTGAGCTATGTTATCTAATATGCAGATTAATAAGGGCATCCCTGGAGATAGGACAGGAATGTTCACTCTGGGTAAAGCAACCATCAAAGCAAAAGTAGTTGAAGGCTGTCCACAAGGAGGTCTGTCCCTCTACTTTGGCAACCTTGGTAGATGATTCGTCAGAAATCTTCCACAGAAGGCTTTTATTGTCTAGGATATGCTGACGATATAGTAATCGTTGTCAAGGGCAGGTTTGCTCAGGTGGTGTCTGAGCGAATGCAAGCAGTCCTAAATATAGTTGCCGACTGGTGTAAACAAGAGAGTACCGATAGTCAATCCTCAGAAAACACAAATCGTGAACTTCACCAAAAAACAGCACTCAAGGCCTAAAACCACCGGTGCTGAGAGGACACAACATCCCCATAGGGATTTCGAAATAAAAATGATCATAACTTGTTAAATACTTGTATAGTAATGTCAAACCCAATACTATAAGAACAAGAATTATGAGAAGAATACAAATTTGAAAAAATATATAGGGTGTCCCATTTAAAAAATTGTATGTTTGCTATACCACGCAGTTCCTGTAGCTGTAGAATTCCACCTATTTTCTTGTATGAAGAATATCATTGCCTAAATTTTGAAACCTTACTTATTTTTGTATTGTAAATGCTTTTAGGTTTAACTGCCCAGTATAGTGGAAAGAAAATAAAGATTTCATCAGAGCTCTTCGCTAGAGGTTGCGTCCATACTGCCGAAGAAGGTCTAGCAGCAGCTCACAAAATCGGTTTTCCTGTTATGATTAAGGCTTCAGAAGGTGGTGGTGGTAAAGGTATCAGGAAAGTAGAACAGGCTGACGATTTTGCTGCAGCTTTTAGACAGGTAAAAAGAGACAAGTTTTATTGTTATTTAAATAATATATTTTGATATATTTCAAGCTTTATTTAAGCAATTGAGATGTGTAGGTGTGAATTACTTTATTTTAGGTACAAACAGAAATTCCAGGTTCTCCCATTTTTGTCATGAAATTGGCCAAATGCGCAAGGCATTTGGAAGTGCAATTGCTGGCTGATATGTACGGCAATGCTATTTCTCTCTTCGGACGTGATTGCTCCATTCAAAGAAGACATCAGAAAATCATCGAAGAAGCTCCAGCTGTTATAGCAGAACCGTCAGTCTTTGAGGATATGGAAAGAGTAAGTAAATTAAGATATAACATTGTTCTATTCTATTATTTTATACAAATCTTTTGTAGGCTGCTGTAAGATTAGCAAAAATGGTCGGTTACGTCTCAGCAGGTACCGTAGAATATTTGTACGATCCCTCTGGTCAATACTTCTTCCTGGAGCTGAATCCTAGGCTGCAAGTAGAGCATCCTTGTACAGAGATGGTGTCTGATGTTAATTTACCAGCTGCTCAACTGCAGGTAAGTCAAACTTAAGATTATAAATTTGAATAAAATTAAAAATTAATATTAAACTCACTCATTGTTTGGACTGGGCCGTATGGAATTTAGCTACGTTGAGCTTTCGACTTCATTTCTTGAGTCTTTATCAGGATGCGTTCATAGGCTACTTAATGCCCGAGATTTCCTGTTCCGCGAAGATTTTTGGCAGCGGGAATTGGATTGACGGAAGGAACCGGAAACGGATGGACTGTATTTTTGGACGAGAAGATAGTTCTTCATGTTTCAAGTTTGTTTATTTTTAAATTGTCTTGATGGTGTCATTTTCAATCCTTTGTGTAAGTTTTTCGCAAAAAACTAAGCTGTTCCGTTAGATGCCTACATTTATAAATAATTTCATGTTATCTTTTCTTCTTATAAAGAATATCATGTGCAGGGTTAAATAGTACACAGAATAGATCTTTACTATAGGTAAAGAAGTAATAAATAAGACTTACTCACAATCAATTTAATTTAACTATTCAGACGACCGGTTTCGCTTTCTACAATATGCAAAGCATCTTCAGGTCTCGATACAAAGTTAAATAAATGCTGAAATAATAATAAACCCATATTAGGGTGTTGTCTAATAAAGATAAACAAAGTAGATGTTATAAAATTACAATAATTATGCCAATATTACATGTCTGTGGTTTTTCAAAATGAATAAAAAGGTATAAAAAGTTTTAACAGACAAGGTAAGACCCACAAATTGTTATAAAATAGTCTATTAGATTGTAATAAATTAATAAATGAGCAAATAAATAAAACATTACTTACATGCCGGTACTCTATTAATTGATGGATGGTAGAACATGGTTGAAACTATCATGTATTGTTGAATGGAGAACTTAAGTCTGCTATTGTAGTTGTTTGACAATAAACGGGAAGTTCTTGAGGAGATAGATTTGATCCAATGAAGTAGAGATAGGTGTAATGTGATTGTTTGTTAGATGAAAGTGATGTTATATACCATTGTATTATTTAAAAGTTATTTATACTTATTCAAGAGATATATTTATGAAATGTGTGTTATTTATTGAGTATTTATGTTATGAAGGTGACAGTTTTATGACAATGAATAAGATTAGATGTACAAATTGTGTGGGTGTGCAATTCTTTCAACTTGTAATTATCAAATTTCTTTGATAAAGTTCTATTGGCAAAATGGTAGATTATTGCAAAGTCAAGTATATAAAAATATTAAAGTTAAAACCATTAAGGACAATTTGAACACACAGAAACAGAAAACACTTAGAAGGGACGAAACAAACATTAAATTTAAAAAGGGGAAGGACTTTTATGCACTACATCTCAGTCTTGGAGACAATGAGTTTTTTTATGTTATCTAATAGATTTTAGAGGTAAATTTGACATATGTAGGTTAAAATGTGACAGTTCTTCTTCTATTTCTCAATACTGTAAGTTAAGTTATCTAGTTTTATGAAATATGCTGATATTAATGAATGTCTCTAAATTGTTTTAATTAAGATATCAAAAGTAAATTGATGTGTTTAATATTGGCATACTTTAACAATCTTTAATTAATTAAATTTAAATGTAACAATACGAATACATAATTGAAATACATCCCCCATTATAACTAACTCAGTTTAGTCCAAATTACAGAACAAATTACAGTGATTATTTGGCAACTAAACATGTACATTTTGTAATCAAAACGTATAACAAATTTACACAATTTATTTGAAAATAGTGTTGGTGTGAGTTATCTGTCATGGTGTGTATAAATATTTTTAAATATTTAATTCAAGTTCTGATATATTAATATGTAACTAAAGTAATAAGTGGATAATTATTGATGGTAATTAATTTATGAATTCCAGAAATTGACTAAATTATTAAGCCTTCAATAATTAGTTGGTCAATTCTAATATCTGACAGTTGCGACCGGAAATTGGTTATACCAATAGGTAAAAGGTACTCTATTTAAACCGGTGTAAAGCAAATTTATTTTTATTTCCAATTTTTCGTGTCACATGAACAGATATTCCTCACACCGACATGAACAATGGTGAGTTTGTACAATAAAATTATATTCATTTTGAAAAACCACAGACATGTAATATTGGCATAATTATTGTAATTATATAACATCTACTTTGTTTATCTTTATTAGACAACACGATAATATGGGTTTATTATTATTTCAGCATTTATTTAACTTTGTATCGAGACCTGAAGATGGTTTGCATATTGTAGAAAGCGAAACCAGTCGTCTTAATAGTTAAATTAAATTGATTGTGAGTAAGTCTTACTTATTATTTCTTTACCTATTTGAAATGGACTCACACAAGCAACACATTCATGATCTTTACTATAGTTTGGTTATATAGATGGTGATATTTGGAGATATTTCTTGTGAATTTCGATGTTGAGCTGTTTTAATGAACCATTTTTTATGTTGACCGAAGGTTTAGTACCAGATCTAACGAAACGTGATATTTTTAATGCAAAAGTCGTACACTAGGTAGAGTATACAAACAATTTCTACTAACAAAATAACTTCTAAGTGAATAAACATCAGGAAATATAAACAATTTTTTTTCTATGCGCGAAACGAACATACATACATATTGTTGTGTCACATACCACTGATTGTGGCCCTGTGCATAGAGAAGTCCAGAAGTCTCTCTTCACCGATGAAATATTCCATGAACTGATTCTATGGACGCAGAGATGACCATCAAGAATTTACGAAGTTATTATTCGTCCACTTAACTTTTTTTCAGAGAGTTCTTTCTCATTAGATAAACCAGTAGGGGCGGGCTAACAATATATAAACTTTTCTGTGTTACTCTTATTTAGAAAAACATTTCTACATATTTTTTAGATTGCCATGGGCTTACCGCTACATTACATCAAGGATATCAGATTACTTTACGGAGAATCGCCGTGGGGAATGAGTGAAATCGATTTTGATCAACCCAGACACAAACCACAACCTTGGGGACATGTCATCGCTGCTAGAATTACCTCAGAAAACCCTGACGAAGGTAAGGGCTAAGGAATATTCCTAGAATTTCAACTGTTTAAATATTTCAATTATATTTCATACAATATTTCTTAAATGTAAATATTTCAGGTTTCAAACCCAGTTCTGGTACCGTTCAAGAACTTAATTTCCGTTCGTCAAAGAACGTTTGGGGTTATTTCTCCGTAGCTGCTTCAGGAGGTCTGCACGAATTTGCCGATTCCCAGTTCGGTCATTGTTTCTCTTGGGGGGAAAACAGAGAACAAGCCAGAGAGAATTTGGTGATCGCCCTCAAAGAGCTGTCCATCAGAGGAGACTTCAGAACGACTGTTGAGTACTTGATTACACTTTTGGAAACCAAAAGCTTCCAGGAAAACACTATCGATACAGCGTGGTTGGACATTTTGATATCTGAAAGAATGCAATCTGAAAAACCGGATATTATGTTAGGGGTGATGTGTGGTGCGCTTCACATCGCTGATATTGCCATCACCAATGCATTCCAAGACTTCCAGACCTCTTTAGAAAAAGGACAAATCCAAGGTTCCAATACTTTAACTAACGTGTTGGATATTGAACTGATTAATGATGGGTAAGTACACGCAGTATGCAAATTTAACAAATTTTGCATACAGTAATAGTATTTAATCTATTGGGACCGTGCAAGTTTGGAACAGCGACACCTGGTGTCGTAAATCAGCAAAATTTACTGCGCTTTCATGTTAGATCGAGGTTACCGGATAACTGTCAAGGACGTAGCCTCAAAAAAGAATAAGAAAAAAAAGTAAGATTGAGGTTATGTCGGTATGTTATTAAAAGGTAAACGTTGTATGTAGTGTAAATACAAATAAATATATTATTAAATTACAGCATTACTGTTAATATGGATGCAATAATAAAAACTGGATTTGAGAAAGTAAATCACCAAATAACTTTTTAACCAAGCACTGAGTCAAAGGGAAAAGCTTTGGTAGTGGCAAATGTCAAAAAAGACTGGAAGAATTAAGAAAAATAAATTACCATAAATAATGCTAATGCATAAATTAGCAGGTTAAGCCCATAATATCATCGTATTGGTTTGAACAATTAATTATTTCCCTGTAAACTTTTGGACAGCGAATATATCTTAATGCATCTGCAGAAAAACTTGAACTTGATGCATTTTTGTAAACTTCAAAAAAATAAAATTTAAACATTAAACTTGATTTTTGGATTAAAATGAACTCTAAGTGAGTGTTATGAAACTAAAATTTACGCTTAAAAGTGAACTTTTATTTATTATTTATTTCAAACTGACTTTAAAATCGGGCGCAAGAATAATGCATAATTTAGGTTATGTTACGTAAGCTTTTTTATGATATAAATCCACTTTTCTCTTTGTAGTAGCTTTGTGCTTCGAAGTTGGAAATGAATAAAACTTAAATTGACAATTTTTTGTTGTATTTTTACAATTTATAACACAGCATTTCCTAAATCCCATTTTCTTCAGTGACAGAAGGTGTAAGTAAACAAACGAATATGAAATATGACAATTGACAATATGAATTTATGAAATCTATGAAATGTGCAGTAAAAAATGCAAAATTTCTCCGCTACTCGCGCACGATCGTTTCTCTTATCCCCTCCAAGTACTTGCACGTCGCCAATAGTATATTTGTTTAACATGAACACTGAATTCATTCAGGGTTATGCTGTTAAAAGGAGAGAGGGGCAATATTTTCTATCGACAACCTCGCCATGGTACTTAAAATATAACACAGGTTTGATGCACAAACTCTATACACACTATATGTCTCTTAACCTATTTATAGTGATACCTGATCACTTTCTCCTTTTTTATTTGTTTATAAATATTATTTTGTCCACATCTCAACTTGCTTCAAATAATTTTTTTCTAAATGTAAATATAAATTTTTTCTAAAAAAAAATGATTGTTAATGTCCGTAAAAGCTTGTCATTTCTTTCTAAAAATCTGCCTTCTTACATTAGAACTAGGTTCCTAGTTAATAGAGTAATCATGCACGTGACGCCATCTTCTTTGAACGATATATAAAATATATTGTGAATCAAATTGTGTAAGAAATCAAAACATAGAAACATTCTGACTTTAAAAAGGCGGCAACATTGTAAACAATTTTGCTAAACTGAACTGTCATTGAAGTTTGAAGCGATATATCAGTGGCGTTTCAAACAGGAAGTCTTCAGGGCTCTCATTGTAGGATCTTGAGGGACACTCTTCAATAATGTGGTCGATGGTTTGGTTTTCCCCACAGTCACATTGAGGAGACGGGTTCTTTCCCCATTTATGTAGCATGTATGCACATCTGCCATGTCTGGTTTCTAAGTGATCCATTCATGACGTTCAATAATTGTACTGTGAAAAATACTATATTTTATCCCTCTTGTGTCCCTCCTTGGTTGTCTTAAGTGACGAATTTACTTTACAATTTTAATTTACTTGAAATTCCTTCTAATTTTTAGCAATAAATACAAAGTACAAGCAACGAAGAGCGGAGCCAATAGCTATTTTCTGCAAATGAACGGATCGTTTAAGGAAATCGAAATTCATCGTCTAAATGATGGTGGTAGGTAATTTTTTTGTATTTAAAACACATTATTGACAAAAAGAAGAGCGTATGTTGATAAAAAATTCCGAAGCAGAAATCGAAAGATCAAAATAAACGTATTTTAAACTCCAATACAAATAGTATTTGTAAATTATATTACTTTTAAACTTTTTTTTTGTCGAAGAGTATTTTTAGATTTCTACTTATAGTAAAATATGGTGGAATATAAATTCATAATGTACATTATTTTAGGAATATTATTATCTGTGGATGGTGCTTCCTTCACAACTTACATGAAAGAAGAAGTAGACCGCTATCGAATAGTGATCGGTAACCAAACTTGCATTTTCGACAAAGAAAATGACCCTACTATCCTAAGATCTCCCTCAGCTGGTAAACTTATTGGTTATGTAATAGAGGATGGCGGTCACGTCAACAAAGGGCAAGCGTATGCAGAAATCGAGGTAAGAACAAATGTGACTATAAGTCATTTTTAAGTTTTCTCATGCCAATGGCTAAAACGTGACCATGACTATCTTTCCATTACTGTTATGTTTTCGTCAACTTTATTTTTTTCTTTGTGGTCCCATTTCACAATATCTTAATTATATATGTACTCTCTTTTCCTTAATTGTAAGTATAACAGTAAACTATCTTAATCTTAAGCTTGATTTGTTTGCTTAATCAGTTTTTAATTTATGTAAACTTCTTTATTTGACATTTGCCCCAACTTTGACTTTTTGACATTTGCCTTAACTTTAAAAAAGCTTTTGCATTCGCATACTGCAAACCTTTTCTTTGATATGTTAATTATTTGTTGCTTGTTCGATTGAACTAAATGGATTTAAAAAGTGTGGCAGGTGGTCTTCTTTTAATTTGTCTTCACAAACGTCATCCATCAATCGATAACTGTCAAACGTCGTATGTCAACTTCATACGTCATTCTCGAACTGTCCCATAAATTAATTAGAATGAATTTTTACATATTTATTTGTATGCACAGTATTATTGTTGTCTGATATAACGAGATCGGCTTATAATGAGGTAATTAGTCTGCCATTTCAGTTCTCGTTATAGAGGGAGTCTACTAAAGTATATAGGAAGAAAATCGTAGGGTAATTATTTACTAAGCCGGAACGCCTTAAAAATGCCCAATTTTTTGTGGACTTAGCCGAAAAAGTGAAAACAACCTCAAATTTTAATGTTTTCTTTGCTTTAAACTATTAAAAGTGCCCAAATAATCAAAAAAATCAGAAAAAATACAAAAAAAGTATTATGAACCAAAAAAAAATTACATAAAAAGCAAAGAAAAGTATATATACATGTCTTAATAAAAAAACGTAACTAAAACATATTAAATATCACTATTTTTACAGTAAAATTATGAAAAAATGCGTAAAATTGTTTAAAATAATCAAGATTTTTAATATTTCAAAACAATATGGCGGCCATGCGCAAGAAGTTAAATTTTATGTACTTTTGACATTGTTGCCAGTTTTAACATTAAAAATACCTAAATTTTAAAATTTAATGAAAATTACATTTACATTTTAATATTAAAAATGCAAACCAATAAACCAAATCTAACCCAACAAGAAAACATGACAATAAAACTAAACCAACCTAACCTAACCTAACGCTCGTAAAAAAGCAGTAATAAGAATAAAATTTTGTAATATAATTAAAAATCAAATTTTTTATTTTTCATAAGAAAATATGATAATAAACGTAAAGAAACGTAACCAAACCTAACCTGACCCTTGTAAAAAAGGTATAATTTTCAGTTAAAAGTAGGAATATAATTAAAATTCAAATTTTTTATTTTTCATAAGAAAATATAATAAACGTAAAGAAACGTAACCAAACCTAACCTGACCCTTGTAAAAAGGTATAATTTTCAGTTAAAAGTAGGTAATAATAAAATGTTATTTTAATGTCCAATTTGAAATTAATTAGAAAACATAATTTTGAATAACTATGGCAACACTGGTTAAAATTACCATTTTTGACCATAAGAAACAGTTGTCATTCCTGTCATTTCTTGTTGTTTCATGGTAAATAATGGCGAATAATGGCGGTGGCTTTTAAAAATCGGGCATATTTTAAATGGAAATTAGATAAAAAATAACGTCTTGCACCGAATAAAAATCATTGCACAATTATTAGTAAGTGAAGCAGAATTCATTGATATAAATTTCATCTCCGTAAACATGGTTCCGGCTTATTACACTAGTACCAATCGTAGTTTTTGTATTGACAATAATTTCATTTTAAATTTTAGGTTATGAAAATGGTTATGACCTTAACAGCCAACGAATCAGGTATAGTGAGCTACGTCAAGCGTGCAGGAGCTGTCCTAGACGCAGGCTCCATTATTGCATCTCTAGAATTAGACGATCCTAGTCTCGTAACCAAAGCCGTCCTATACAAGGGGACTTTCTCAGACCTGGACGTATCTCAACCGATCGTCCCAGAAAAACTCAATCGTATTCATAGTAGCTTCAGGACTGCTTTGGAAAATACTCTTGGAGGTAAATGGAAATTTTTAAATTCCTTTGAATTGTCTATTTTACCATTTTCCTTTCATTTTTTAGGTTATTGCTTACCTGATCCATACAACGCTCCACGTTTAAGAGAAGTGATTGAGAAGTTTATGTCCTCATTGAGAGATCCTAGCCTTCCTTTGTTGGAACTACAAGAAGTGATGGCATCCATTTCCGGTCGTATTCCCGCAGCTGTCGAAAAGAAAATTAGAAGGCTGATGGCTTTATACGAAAGAAATATCACGTCCGTTTTGGCCCAATTCCCTAGTCAACAAGTAGGTATATGTTTACAAATAAGCGTGTGCGTGGACTGTTCAAACTAATATCACAATATATGTGTTCAAACTAATATATCATATAAACAATCAGAATGCCCACTCTCCATGGAAAATTAAGTACGCGCATCTCCTTCGCGCAGACGTTCCGCCATGTTTTAGAGGGAACCAGTGTTGTTTATTGTGGTGTGCATAGAAAAATTAACCCGGTTTAATTGACTTACGGCAATCATAGTCATACTATACAATTATATTAACATTGTTAAATATATATATATAATATATATATATATATATATTAACATTGTTAAATATTTATATAATATATATATATTTAATATATATATATTATATATATATATATATATATATATATATTATTATACTTCTTCTTCCACAAACGCGGAAGGAACAAAAATAATTAAGGAATCCATCGGAAGTAAGTTTTTAAGAAATCTGAAGACAAAATATGTATTAATTTTAAGATAGAAAGTTTGTATATTTGTAAATAGATAGATTAGTACCGAAATTTTATGACTTATAAAGAACTAAGCCATTCTAAACGAGTTATTGACAAACCATTTGTACATTATAGAAAATAAGCTGTTACCTGAAGGATTAGTCCGGTATTGTGTTATATAAATCTTCTATTATGACTAAGGCAAAAATCTTTGAAATGTATAAAAATTATTTGTTTACAAGGAAATGACCATTGTTAAAAGATTAAAGTTCCTTGCTTGAAAACGGTAATTAGCATTCCAACAAGTGTGGTAAACAAATTTGGATTTTGTGATGAGACGATCTTTTTGGAAGGGGAAATCGACAGACCGAGGGTTGATAGAGTTTTTGTTGGTTCGAGAAGACAGTGATGTTTGAGTGATCGAAAAGAAAGGTTGCGTCTCGACAGGCGGTGTGTTCGTGAGTTGGAGGCCGGCATTGTTAAGTGGATAAAGTTACCAGTCTTGTTAGCAGAATTGTGGAAGAAGTAGATTGCAAGTCGATGTAAAGAAATCCTTGAATCTAAAGTGTGCAGTTTCTGGAATACGTGTTAAATAGTTGTGGCACCAGGTGAGAAAAGAGATCCTTGGGTCACGAAGAAGTTATATGAATGTTTGAAGAAGTGATTTTCGTGTGTTAAGTGTTGGAGAATTGAGTCAGGAGGTTAAATTAAGTCAGTTAAATTGGCTGAAGGAGCAGATACTGAAACAAGAAGCCGAGGCGCAAGGTGGAAGAACACATTGCTGTGGAAGGTGGACAATTCTTTGTGTGGTCCTAAAACAATCCAGGGAAGAGAAGGTCAGATATTTTCCTTTTTCAAGTTGAAAGGTGTGTAAATCTTAAATGCGATTTGTTTACCTCATTGTTGTTACCAGTTTAAAGCATGATTAGACCTTTTTACATTTATCGAATGTTTTAAAGTTTTGTTTCCATAATAAAATAGTTTTTTTAAATATAAGGAAGATAAAAGTTTATAAAGGTATCCAAATTTAAATTAGTTTCAAATTGTTTTGTCTCAAGAAGAAAATAAGAATTAAAATTTTCTTTTTGTATTAATTTCATTACATGCATATTCGCTGATTGAAAAGATAACGGCAAATTTAATAATTGTTTTTTTTTTATAAAATAAAAAATATCTGTATTTTATGTATTATACTTTTTATTATTATCCTTTGTTTTTCCTATCCCGATAAATACAACTAGAAAACTTTGAACTCACTGAACATAAGAAATATCAGAAGTTTATTTTTTAGGACATTGATAACGAGAAAGTATATTTTTGTGATTGTTTCAAGTAAATAAATTAAAATCAAAAATACAAAATCATAACAATATATATATATATATATATATATATCGGTTTTTAGAACGTCTTTCGACGTTGTCCGATGCCTAACTTCCACGTCCTTCTATCATCCCATTGGCCGTCTCTAAAATCTCTTGTACTCATTGCTTTAGTTACCCCTTCTTTCCATGTCTTTTTGGGTCTTCCTCGTTTTTTTGCGGTTTGGTGTTACCCACTGCATAATCTTCTTGGGTAGTCTAGTTAAATATAATAACATAAATATAATAGAATTAAAATAAATATAAACAATTACATAACCTCACAAATCATATGTGTCTGTGTTATGTGTTTCCTTCTAAAACATGGCGCGCGTGCTGAAAAACTTCAAAGGCGGCATCTGAGAGTGGAACATTCTGATTGTTTATTATTCTGTGCTAATATGTTTAATTTTATATATTTTCTTTTGCCAACAAGTTCTTGGAATTGTTTTTTATCAGCTTCTCCGCGAAGTAGTTGTTCAGCTGTTGTAACGATTATTTTTTGCCTACCATATAGGGTATTACTATAAGGGCTTGAAAATTGGGACAGAAATTATTGGCGTGGAGATCTTCTTCTTTTTACTTGGAGAAAGACAAAAAATTTTACTTATTGTTTTCACTGCAAAACATATTGTAAAAATCTTAAATGTTAATAAAAAAAAATCTTCCTATGCTTCTCCTAGTCTCTATTTTTCCTTGAATTATGAGTCTCAAGATGTTGTATCTTTCGCCTCTCATCACATGTCCGAGATATTGCAATTTTCTTTCTTTTATTGTATTTTGCATTTCCCTCTCTCTGCTTATTCTCCTTAACACTTTTGTATTCGTGCCTCTTTCTACCCATGGAGCATTTCAAACGCGTTAAGTCGATTTATTGTATTTCGGTTTAATGTCCATGATTCAGCTAACCTGAACGAACATGAAATCATGAATCATATGTTCTGGGATACCTAATGAAAACTAACAACTAAGGTGAATTTTCTTTGTATTTTTCTGCTAGTGTTGCTTATTAATAAGTAGTTTTTATTTTTTAGATTGCTAGTGTTATTGACACTCATGCAGCCAGTATGACTAAGAGAACAGAAAGAGATGCCTTCTTTTTAGCCACCGAAGGAATCATACAACTTGTGCAAAGGTAAATAATTATTTAATAATCATTTTGTTCCAGATCAGTATATAGCCATAGAAAAAAGTCTTAATTTAACACTTTTGCTGCGGAACTTTATTTTGTGCGGAATCAACTTTTTTGATAGCATATGTAATACGCAGATAATGGTCAATGGCACCTGAAAAATAAGAAAGGCGCAATATGGTAGAACCCTGATATAACTAAGAGATTCAAGGAAAGTCTCGAAAGCAAGCTGGAAGGCTTCACGGAAGTTATCGTTGAAGATATTAACAACTATTTGAGGCAGTGTAGAGCCATACTGGAAGAAGTGGCAACTGAAGTTATCGGAAAACAAAAACGTAAAAAATTAGGCATATAGAAGACTTCAAGGGTCTTCAACACTTCCTGGGACAGATGGCATTCCTTTAGAACTTTTAAAGCACGGCAAAAAAAACTTGACGTACTGTATATGTTGGGGATTTCTTCCCGCTATTGATTGCACTATGAATGTAATTAAAACCAACTTGTTTATTTGAACTTTATTACTTTAACCAACATAACAACAATTGTAACAAATATATTCAACTACTCACTCTTACGGAGTCTCGGCAAAGAGTCCCTCGTTGGCGCGTCAGGCCACCTGTTGTACTTCAATCGGCGTTGCAGAGCACGTACACTGTTGCCGACGTTGCCAACTTATTTTTAAGGAAAAGTCTGAACAGTATATGTAGACTGGTAGAACTGATCTGGAAGCAAATAAAGTTGCTAGAAGACTGGAATGTAGGTATAATTGTAACTTTTCACAAGAAAGGAGATCAAATAATATGTGACAACTACAGAGGAATAACCCTCCTAAACGTAACATACAAAATATTGACATATATTCTTTACAACCGACTTTCGGATATTGAGAAGACATAATATGTAAATATCAGTGTGGGTTTCGGAAAAAAAGATCAACGACCGATCAAATATTCCTTCTAGCAAGCTCTGGAAAAAACATAAGTATGGCATTGATACTCATCACCTATTTGTTAATTTTAGATGTGCCTATGATAGTGTTGGTGAATTTTTGAATGTTGTTGTTTTTTGTTGGTGAAAAATTGGTGAAAGCGACCCTCTCAAGAGTCGAGTGTAAAGTTAGAGTGGAGAACGGAGTTTCCAGAACGTTCCAGTTTCAGATAGGACTTAGACAAGGAGATAGTCTATATCATGCTTTCTATTCAATATTACACTAGAGAAAGCGATAATATAATCTGGAATAATAACCAGAGGAACTATTGTTAATGGCAACGCACAATTACTAGTTGTAAGTACAAATTTGAGCAAGTTGATAAACTCGTTTACCTTGGACAGGAATCAAATTGTAACGCAGAAAGTCACGGCGAAATTAGATCTAGGATAGAGCAGGCTAGAGCTGTTTTTAGAAGGATGTCCAAGGTGTTAGGTAACAGAGACCTAAAATTGGCATTGAGGATCCGCCTACTTCGCTGCTACGTGTTCTCGGTCTTACTTTATGGTGACGAGTCTTGGACAGTGAGTAAAATCGATCTAAATCGCCTTGAGGCTTTCGAAATGTGGTGCTATAGAAGAATTTCAAAAGTTTCCTGGATGTAGAAAATTCGAAACTCCACAATACTAGAATATCTCAGCAAGACTACTGAGATCATAAAAAGCGTCAAGCAGAGAAAGCTGGAATATTTCGGACATGTAATGAGATAAGCTAGGGATATGTAACACTTCACCCATTTTCACAGTTTATTAACGTGCGAGTAGGTACAGCAACATCTTCATTAGTCTCTGCTACATAATCTAAGTCTGAATCACCATTATTACAGTTCATTACTGTATGGGAAGTTGAACGAATACCTTCATCAGTGTCTGGTACATAATCTGTCTAAATAAAAGGGGTCAAAATCTCCATCATGAGCTGGACTGACATCTGAAAGAAAATAAATATGCTTTATCAATTCAATATGTCATAACTACCAGCAATAAAGAACACAGAATGAAATTTATCCGAATAAAAGTAATAATAAAAACCTCATAAATACCTAAAATTCTAAAATTCAATATTTCTTTCACCTAATCCGCAAGCCTGTATTGTTCCAAGTTCATTGAAGCGTTTGTATGAGAAATCATTCTTTCGGTTGTAACTACGTCATCATTGTTACACCGTCAACATTTTAATGAAAAAAAAAATTTTATCCTGAAAAGGGAAATGCTTACCTGTTATAGTCCCAGTTTTGTCGACTGGTTCATTTGCAAGAATACACATCAATTGACCACGAAAAATCATTTTTTGAGCACTTTCACTATATTTGATACTTGAATAAAATTTTTGATTAAAACAACAGGTGTGCAATAAATTGTGTGTGTGAATATGAATAAATTATTAATATAAACAAACCTAACCTCACAAAATTTGACAGTCAAACAGAATGACTCAGTGTTTCCAATAATTTTCTCACTAATGAACAAGCAACAGTGGGTTATTTAGTTTGTGGCAGTGTTGCTTTGACTAAATTAGTTAATTGCTTCTAGTATCTTCTTCTTCAAGTTCCACTCCTATCGGAGATTGGAAATCATTCTGGCAATTATAATTTTATTGGTTACTCGCCTGAATAGTTAAATTGAACTGCATCCAAACCACTCACGGAGATTGCGTAGCCACGAGATTTTACGTCTTCCTACGCTTCTTCTACCTTTGATTTTACCCTGCATTATATTCCTTAGTAGTTCGTACTTTTCACCTCTCATGATGTGCCCCAAGTATTCCAATTTCCTGATCTTTATGGAATTTAAAACTTCGCATTGTTTTCCTAGTTGTTCGAGAACTTGTTCGTTTTGTTTTGCGATCCATCCATGATATTTTCAAAAGGCGTCGGTAACACCACATTTCGAATGCTTCTAGGTTTTTAATGTTGGATTTTTTAAGTGTCCAAGCTTCAACTCCATACAAAAGGGTAGAGAAAATATAACATCGAAGCATTCTTATCCGGAGCGATATATTGATATCGCGATTACAAAAAAGTTTTCTCATTCTATTAAAAGTTGACCGCGCAATTTCAATGCGGCATCTTATTTCTTTTGTCTGATCAGTATCTTCTGTGATCCATGCTCCAAGGTATTTGTACGAAGATATTTGTTCAATTTCTGTATTATCTAGTACTAGGTTAACTTTGATGTTTTGTGCTTTTGTAAATACCATGAACTTGGTTTTCTTCAAATTGATTTTTAGTCCATAATCGTTGCAATATATATTTAGTTGTTCAGCAAGGTGTTGCAGTTCTTCTAGTGTTCCTGCCAAAAGAACGGTGTCGTCAGCATATCTTATGTTATTAAGTGGCTCACCGTTTATTATAAGGCCCTCACTGATCTCGGCAAGCGCTAATTCTGAGATGGCTTCACTGTATAAATTGAAAAACAAGGGTGATAAAATACACTCTTGGCTTCTAGTATAACACTGGTTTATTCCTCATAACCGATAAGTTGAGTTTTAATACATGTTATCTAAGTATTTTTGTGATAAATTGGACTCTTTTGGTTACTTTGCTGTAATAATGTTGAAAATGGAATTTTGTCAAAATATCCCACTGTTGCTTTCAGCCATCGATGTATAAATTCAAAAGATATAAATGTATGTGATTGTTTGACGATTACTGCTCTAACATTTTCAATTGTCTATTTTTAGTATGTGAATTTTCACTTTATCCTTTAACTAAAACATAATTGAGTTTGTAACAACCTCTCTCAAAAAATACTAAATAAAAAAACAAGAGAAATATAGACAAATAAAAAAACTGCTTCTTTACTTTCATTTAAAATTTTTTAGGTATCGAAATGGTATCCGTGGTCGCATGAAGCACGCCGTCCAAGAACTGCTCAAACAATATTACGAAGTCGAAAGTCAATTCCAACACAGTTCCTACGATAAATGCGTCTCGCTCTTACGCGACAAACATAAGGACGACATGTCCGCCGTAACTGCAACGATCTTCTCGCACAGTCAAGTCTCGAAAAAGAATCTCCTCGTCACGATGCTCATCGATCATCTGTGGAGCAACGAACCCGGATTAACGGATGAATTAGCGAGTTGCCTTACAGAACTGACGTCTCTAAACAGAAGCGAACATTCCAGAGTGGCTCTTAGGGCTAGGCAAGTGCTGATCGCAGCCCATCAACCTGCTTATGAGTTGCGACACAACCAAATGGAGAGCATTTTCTTATCGGCTGTAGATATGTACGGGCAGGTAAATCATATTTTTAATCTTATGACACTACTGATCAAAAAATTACTTTTAGACAAAATTAGATGGTATTCTTCAACATATTTATGAGCCCCTTCAAAATATATTAAAAAAATAAAATAATATTAACAAAAAAAAATGTGAAAGTTTACCACTGATTTACATTCCCTTTATTTTTAATGGCATTTACTAGGGAAAAACGATGGGGTTATTTCCACCATTTCCGTAGTACTGTCTTGATTTGTTACAAGATTTAAGTGTTGGTTGCTGATTTGTTTGTCCTCTTGTGGGGGCGAAAAATTATACAGTTAAACCCTTTTAATTATCGGATAGAGATAGAGAGAGAGAGAGAGAGAGAGAGAGAGAGAGAGAGAGAGAGAGAGAGAGAGAAAGAGAGATAGAGAAGAGAGAGAGAGAGAGAGAGAGAGAGAGAGAGAGAGAGAGAGAGAGAGAGAGAGAGAGAGAGAGAAAGAGAGAGAGAGAGAGAGAGATAAGAGAGAGAGAGAGGAGAAGAGAGGAGAGAGATGAGAGAGAGAGAGAAGAGAGAGAGAGAGAAGAGAGGGAGAGAGAGAAGAGAGAGAGAGAGAGAAGGAGAGAGAGGAGAGAGAGAAGAGAGAGAGAGAGAGAGAGAGAGAGAGAGAGAGAGAGAGAGAGAGAGAGAGAGAGAGAGAGAGAGAGAGAGAGAGAGAGAGAGAGAGAGAGAGGAGAGAGAGAGAGAGAGAGAGAGAGAGAGAGAGAGGAGAGAGAGAGAAGAGAGAGAAGAGAGAGAGAGAGAGAGAGAGAGACTAGGAGAAAGAACAACTTCTTTTGCGAATTGTTTTGTTTTTGCTAATAACGGTTAATATTTGATATTCAAAAACAGAGGCGGCTTCAGGTTAAATTGGGATAGTTAAAAAATTAGTTGATTTTCCAACATCCACAATTATTCGAAGCATAGTTTTTACCAAAGTTTTGATAAAATTCTAATGTAAACGAATCCCATATTTCTTGCAATTTTTCCTTCAATTCGTTGACGGACCTGGCAGAATTTTTTTTTCAAAGCTTTTTTCATTTCGCGCCACAAAGTCTCTATCGGGGACAAGTTGGGAAACCCATTCCATATAAGTGGTATGCCATGGTCTTCAATCCATTTTAAACTCTTTTTTGAGTCATGACAACCTGCGCTATCCTGTTGGAAGACAAAATCTTCTGCCCCATATTGCCCTCATAAGTTAAAAAGCCCTATCTCCAAAGAACACAATTTTACTGGAGACATGAAAAGCCAATTTTTTCTCCAGCATCGCAGTTTTGATATTTTTAAATGAATTTAACGTGGAAATGGTTTTGTTTCAATCTTAAAATCATGGTTTTAACGTTAACATAAGAATATTTCCATTTTTTAGGAGAAAAAATGGATTTAGAGCTTTTTATTTTAAAGTTGGATGCTGACATATCAGATTCTAATAAGCCCTAATTACCTTGTATAGGCAGTTAAAGCTTTTTACTTTAAAAATTAACTAATTTTATACATACTGAACGTAAAAGGTTTATTGAAAATATAACTTATGTTTTTAAGAACTGTGTAATATCTCCAAATGAAAAGACATAAAATTTTGAAGTTGGGAAAAATGGGTTTTATGACTCATTCAGCGTCAGTCAGTGTTTAATAAATCTGGCTCCTCTGACTCTTGAATGGTTAACCAAAATCCACGGCGATTTGATGGCATAAGAGAGCACAATTGTTCAACTATTTCTTTTTTCTTAGCTTTATTAAATTCTCTTACTCCCTTAGTTTTCTCAGACACTGGAAAGTTCCTGATATATTTAGCTTGTAAGAAATTTAGCACTTTGGTATTAGGTTCTTGGTAATCAGTGGAATATAGTAGATTTGTATTGCCTCGCTTGCAAAAACTGCAAATTCCATAGGTAGGTCAACTGATATGGGAAGGAACACGTAGTACTTTGAGATTCCTGAGTCTCCAGATCACTTTACTAGTACACTGTGATACACTTCACTATGTACTGCTACTGATGTTTCGTCAAGAAGGTGTTTGGGTGGGTTGACGGCGTGAGCTGGATTGCTGGACGAAATGGATAGTATTTTATTATGATTGAGAAGTTGTCTACATGTAAGAGGTATACCGGAGCCGTCATCTCTTCTATTGAGACAATCGGGACGTTTTTTTATTTCAATGGGTCTCGGATAATCCTTGTTTTATATAAACGGATGGGGGGGGGGGGCTACAGTTCTACAATTTTCAAAACCAATACCATCTCCCTACATAATTTCATAAAGCGCATATATAAACATCAAAGAAAAATGCTAGACAAATTCTCACAACACTTTTTCTTAAATTTTAGGAGTTCCACCCCGAAAACCTTCAAAAATTGATCGTGTCTGAAACTTCAATCTTCGACATTCTCCACGATTTCTTCTACCATACCAACAGAGCCGTCTGTAATGCCGCCCTCGAGGTATATGTCAGAAGAGCTTTTACAAGCTACGACATTAGCTGTCTGCAACATTTGGAACTTAGTGGTGAAGTACCAGTAGTACATTTCACATTTACTTTACCCCCTTCACATCCCAACAGGTTAGTTAAATTGAGTTCCGTCCTGGAATCGGCAGAAGGTATGTCCAAATATTATAATATTTAATAACTTTGATGTTTAATTTTTAACATGTATATTTTCAGAACCGGTTGAACCAGACCCTAACGAAGTAAAGATTGTCGACACTTTCCATAGAACCGGTTGTATGGCTGCTTTCGACAACCTACAACATTTTGAGCAAAGTGCTGACGAAATTTTGGATTTGATTGAAGATTTTGCGAGTCCTGCTACTATTTCAGCTAAAGACTTAAATGCAGTGGAAAGCGGCTCAGAATCAAGGGGAAATAGCACTTCCATCAATGTTAGTTTGTCTTTGGAAGCTAGAAGGTAATATTAGATTTTAGGTTTCCGGTTTATCAACCGTTGTTAATTAATATATTAAGACTTTTTTGTTCATTAATCTTTGTTTGATATGTTGTTTTAGACCTAGCGCGGATGAACATATAATCGAAGAACCAAACCATATTCTGATGGTTTGCATCAAAGACGATGGGGATAAAGACGATTCCACTATGAGTAAAATGTTCGCTGCTTTCTGTGCAAGACATAAGGACGAACTGATCGCTCGACACATTCGAAGGATCACCTTTTCGCCACTCAAACACAAACAGTCACCCAAATTCTTCACCTATAGGTATGTACATCAACTAAAAAGTATGCTTTATGCTTACACTTACATTTTTTTGATTTTTTTTAAATTTTCTCTATTTAGACACATTTTTTATCCATCTCTTAAATATACATTACCTTTACTCCATTGCATTTCAGAGCTAGAGAAAGTTTCGTGGAAGACAGAATTTACCGGCATTTGGAACCAGCTTGCGCCTTCCAGTTGGAGATGAACAGAATGAGATCCTACAGCTTAGAAGCTTTACCTACTTCTAACCAAAAGATGCATTTGTATCTTGGCAAAGCAAGGGTAAGTGACGTTAATAATTATTACGATCCAGTACTGAAGGAGGTTCCTCTTTTCTACACATGCTTTGAAAAATGTAACGTAATGAAGAGCAAATGATTGAAGTGATCCATACCCATATCTTCAGCGGTGAGCTTTAAAAGGCTTGTTTGAAGCGGACGGCTCTTCACAGGGTTAATTATTTTCACAGAACCATCCAATACGTCTTTGCGCCATCTTTTTAGTTGCCAAAGAATGGCGATGTAAGACAAAATGACTGCTGAAGGCATTTTCTGCCACTTCCTTTATTCTAGACACCGCCCATCTAATTTTACCAACCATTGCAGCCGCTCCATCACTGCAAATATCTTCACATTTACTGCACTCTATATCATTTTTTCTTATATACTCGTGGATAGCCTTGAAAATTTCTTTACCAGTGGCATAATTTTTAAGCTCTTCACATATAAGGAGTTATTCTATTTTCATCCCGAATGGAAACCTCACATACACAACCATAACAGCAAGTCCAGCAACGTCAGTACTCTCATCAAACTGTAAATTGAAGATTTTTCTCTTTTATAAGCCTCTCTATCTCTACAAAGTCTGAAATAGTGTGAATTATCTTGCTTATAGTGCTGTTTGACATCTGCACATTATCAATCTTCTTGGTCATATCTGGAATTAACATGCATTGTACGAAATCCTTCACGCAAGGTTTAATTAGTTCTTCGGCAATGGTATGAGGGATTCCAGCTTTCGTAATGTGCAAACCAACAATAAATGATGCTTGAGTGGCGTTTTAGTTTTCATTTTTGCAGACTCTTGCATCCCCTGCATCACTCTGCCTGAAGAGATGAATCACGACGTTTGAAGGTTTTTTCGGCCTTATCGGCTAAACCAGGATGATTTCTTTCCAAATGTCTGTTTAATTTAAATGGAATCAAGCACCCATTAGCAACAATTTTGTGGCAATTAATGCATTGGCCTTCTGATGCCTGTTCGGTGCCAACTTGAATAAAGCCATATAACGTGAGATAGTTAGGATCACACTTTCTAATTTTTCGTAAAATTTCTTTTTGGTAAGGAACCTCCTTTCCACGAATTGTATGATCTGGACTAGAATGGATCTCGTGGACCTTTGCATCTTCTCCATCTCTGCTAGTTATCACTGAATCAGTTGATTCAAATGCTTTAGTGACTTCACTACATTTCCTTTTCAAAGAACCAGATTTCAGCCAGTTTTACATTATTCTGGAATGAAAAGAATGTTCCAAATAAAAGAGAGCAAAACATTGCCAACAATGAAAGGTATTTTCCAACCGTAATAGTGCAAGACCTATTTTATGGCAAAAATATCAACAAAAGTACATAATATACATATTAATTCCAATGAATATAATTACTTACGTCGTCACTTTTCTTCTTCAGTAATATCTAAAACTTGCCGCGTCACCCATTTTGAGAACTTCTGGTATAATTTATTGTAATGTATTTTGAGTTCATTAATGACTGAAACCGAACCAAAACACCGAAAAAACTGTTAGGAACATGATAATTTTTGTTATTCTCTTTCGCACAATTAAAAACATAGTAAATATAGTTTTTAATATTGTAAGGATCAAAGTGAATTAAGGCTGTTTAAGCAGTTGAGATACACTGCGATTTGAAATGGACGTATCACTTTTCTACACTACTTACGCCAGACCATCTTTACTCATGGCGCCGGCCGACGGGTAGTTTAATGACAATAAATGCATTATTCTCCATTCAAACACGTTTCACTATTAGATTTTAGTATTTTTTAGTAATATTCTTCAAAGTTGGAACACGCTTTTCTCTATTATTACTGGACACAGAAAGGTGAAAAAAAATCAACGATTACAGAAAAAAACTCTTTAAGTGATGGACGTAAAAAGTTTGGTTATAATAGAACGGTAAACAGTATAATCCAATTTTACACCAGAAGTTACAAAAAAAATAAAAAAAATTAAACCATAATTTTAAAGGCAACATAATTTCGATTAAATGTCCAAATTTCGAGACATTTTGTCGGTAACTAACAGAGAAAACACTGTCCCTAGGTTTTGGTGCACCGATAAAACAGCCTTAACAATTTTTAAAGAAAAATTAGTTGACTTAAAAAAATAAAAAGATGTAAATTTCATTTAACGACACACTAATTTTAAAACTATATCAACGTTTGGAGTCAATGTTTAATCTATACCTTACTGAAATTTTTTCTTTATTATATTATTTTTTTAATGTGGGAGAACATGTTTTAAAGATATTACTTTTGATTTTTAGGGAGCTGGTGGAAAAGAAATAACAGATTACCGATTCTTTATTAGATCTATTATCAGACATTCAGATCTTATTACCAAAGAAGCTTCTTTTGAATATTTACAAAACGAAGGAGAAAGAGTAATTTTAGAGGCTATGGATGAATTGGAAATTGCTTTCTCACATCCACAATCGAAAAGAACCGATTGCAACCACATTTTCCTTAATTTTATTCCAACGGTTATTATGGATCCAGCCAAGGTAAGATTATTTGCCATACAATAGCGGTATTGAATGTTGTCTAATATTGTTGTTGGATCAATATGCATTGATTAATTTTAAATAGGTAAAGAAATAATAAATAAGGCTTACTCACAACCAATTTAATTTAACTATTCAGACGACCGGTTTCGCTTTCTACAATATGCAAAGCATCTTCAGGTCTCGATACAAAGTTAAATAAATGCTGAAATAATAATAAACCCATATTAGAGTGTATTGATTTATAACCACTTGTTAAGTGCTGTTGGTAACCGCTATTTTAGTTGTACCTTAACATCTAAAGAAATTACATTGTTGTGAAAAGTTACAGTTTGAATTGATGTATTTTGTATAAAAAACTATTTTCGTTCCGATTTTCCGTTAAAATCTATATAAATTTTTATATGTATTGCAGATTGAAGAAGCTGTTACAAATCTCGTGATGCGCTACGGACCTCGTTTATGGAAACTCAGAGTATTGCAGGCCGAAATAAACTTAACAATCAGACCATCGCCTAACGCAAACACGTCCAAAATTCGATTGTGTATCGCAAACGACAGTGGTTATTATTTAGATATTAGTATGTATACCGAGGTACCTGATCCCGAAACGGGTATTATCAAGTTCCAAGCTTACGGAGATAAGCAAGGCCCTCTGCACGGTTTACCCATTTCGACCCCATACATTCCCAAAGATTATCTGCAACAGAAACGGTTCCAAGCTCAATCTATCGGAACCACGTACGTGTACGATTTCCCCGACATGTTCAGACAAGTGGTGGATTTACAGTGGAAGCAATTCACGCAAGCAAGATTGAATGGTAAGCTATATTTTATTTTAACATAAATATATAAGAACTTTGAAAAATTAAAGGCAAATATCGAGCACAATTTTAATAATTAAATCTTGCCCAAACAGTTTCGCTTTCTACAGCATCATCAGGGACATTTCATCAAATTTGGGCTATCCAGCAAGCGTAGAATGTGATAAACTGGATACCCCAAATTTGACGAAATGTCCCTGAAGATGCATTCAACCTTATATCAATAAATCTATAAAGCCATTCAAGAAAAATCATAACTAAATAATATTCCTACGGCTCGGTAGTAGTATATTCACCATGCTCAATAATGTTACATTAATGATTTTACATCGTTAATTTAAAGTTAGGTTAGGACAATATTTTTAACTGTAGAAAGATGTCTTCAATTTTTTAAGAAATAAAAAATACACAATGTAGTTTACATAACTGTATTCCTACTTCGTGTCTATCTGTCTATCCTCTGTTAGCTGTCATTACACCTTGACAGAGCGTCAAATTAAAAAAAAAGGGCAACAATAAGAAGCCTGCATAACAAATATTTTTGGGAAAGTTAAGTAAAAATGGTATTTAATTCAGCAAATATTATTTCATCTACGGTTTAGGTAAAAGTTTATGGTCGATATAGTAGAAATTAACAGGATATCTAATACATATATAAAATCATATTTTTAGCGAATAGACAAAGATAACAATCATATTTCAACTTATTCTCTCCTTCATATTCCTCATGCAACTCCTATTAGTGAAAGCCAAACGATTATTTCCAATCCAGCTTAAACGTAAGAAACAGCGGCAGGGTTGCCTTATTGCATATTTGAATTGATTCAAAAAATTGGCGATCAGTGACGCGGTTATAGTGCCATTCAAAACTGGATGATGGTATTAAAAATGAAACAATAATTTACACAACTACTGGTACAAAATTTCTTAAATCTCTGAGAAATTTACAGATTCGCATTTTTATTTGACGAAATTTTAACCTAATTTCCAATAAAACAAGATAAGTTTGGCAACATCGCCATTCGTCCGTTCTCTTCAATGGTAAAGTGCATACGAGACAGGCTGAACTGAACGCTATGCTATGTATTTCTTTTTGGAGGTAACCACGTTAGTGTGAAGATAAAAATTTTATATGCCGACTGTTTATACAACAGAAGAACTGGTACAAATTATAAAATGGTACTTTGAGGGCAATTAAGTACATGAAACTAGTAATTAATTTATTATAGCTTTTAAAAATAGGCCAATACCTATAAAAAAACTGTATTGGCCATTATTTGATAAGTTTGGTTGTACTAATGGCAGATGTAAACAAATGCTGCCCATCAGATCAACCTCGCGATATGAAAATTCAGAAATCGTACTAAAAATACGGAACATTAATAAATTTTATTTATATAAAACGATTTCCGAAGTGGAAATCAAAATGTTATATTACACTTATTGTAAAGTAAACTTGTGGCATATTCCCAATAAAAAAACAGTAAGCTGCCATTTAAATCAATTCGCCCAAATTTGATTATCTTAGAACATTGTTCAAATGCTAAAAAGACAACAGGTCAAATAAAAACAATACGTTGTCATTTGGCAACGTTGAACTTTCTCTCTTTTATTATTTCCACTAAAGCATTTTCGATGATATAAAGGATGGACCTAATATACCTCCCTCTTTTTAAGCATCTGTTTCTCACTCCATCTCACACAAGGTCCACACCGACCATAAACTTTTACCTACACTGTATATACAGGTTTTGTGAAAAGAAGCAGGACCGTTGATTATTTCAAGAAAAGAACATTGTATGGAAAAACTTTCTCAGGAAAAAAAGGTCTCAATATTTCTTACAAATCTATCAAATGACACCATCAGCCTCCACCATAAAGCGGGGAGAGGGGGAATTTTGAAATCTTAAATGTGAATTTCCATTTTTTATTGCAGATTTGCATTCCTTATAAAAAAATAAGTAACTTTCATAAGGAACATTTATTCAAGTTTTTATGCTTCTTGTACAAATGTCCTTTCGTTTCCATTTCATTGTATTAATGAAAAATTAATTTAAATTTATTTTAGCATATACTGATAAAGCAAATAAATTTTGCGAAAGCTCGATATTAGCGCCACCTAGGAAAGAAATCTGAACTACCAACTGACATTTCAACCTACTTAAATTTTAATCAGTCATATGTTCTTGAACATTTATGAATGGGTGATTTAACTAATTCATTCTACAAATTAATGATTCAAATATCCTTTTCCACATAAAGAAACTTTTTATTTAATAATTTGTTATTAATCTGTCAATTAATTTTACTTTGTATTAAAAATGGCAAATCACTGGCGCCAACTAGCAGATAATAATTGAACTATTACAATTAGTAATGTAGATTTTTGCGGCGTAATATATGATGTCAGAGTGTGAGGAGCTTATAATGCTATTGAGATACAAAATTTCCACATGCCCAAGTGTCGCATACTCTGCAATCCTAGTACAAAATCACTAGTATCATATACACTTTAACTTTGGTTAAATTCAGCAAAACGGTCATGTATTTATATTTGTTTTAGAAAACATCACAATTCCAGACAAGTTGATGGACATCGTGGAACTCATTCTTGACCCAGAAACTGAAAGTAGACTGATCGAACAAAAGAGAGTTCCCGGAGAAAATAACGTTGGTATGGTAGCGTGGAGACTCACTCTGTATACACCGGAATATCCAACCGGTAGAGACATTATCGTCATCGCCAACGACGTTACCTACTTGATTGGATCTTTTGGGCCACGCGAAGATAAGGTAATTATAAAAAGTTCATGTTAAATGAAATTGTGTTTTTGAGACTAGAACTATTTTGATTTGTTGTTGAACTTTATTTAAAAATATTTTATTTGATAAACATTCCCTAACCTTTTAAGTATTGACTTATGCGTGCAAGGTTTAAGAAGAATAGAGAAGTCTATAACTTTTTCTTTTTACTCTTGACTAATAACCTGTCAATACAGCAAGTGTTTGTTCAATATTTTCTTAAACTAAACTAAAAGAAGTGGCAAAATCTGTTGACAACTTCATCCCAATCTCAGCAAGAGTGATGCTCATACAACTGACAGCAAGACTAATCGACATCAATGTAATTCAAGTGTATGCACCTACAACAGAAGAAATAGAAGAAGAGGTAGAAGCACTATAACATAGCATTAGTAAAGTCATGAAAAGTTTGAAAAAGCAAGACCTAACAATTGATATTGGTGACTTCAACGTCAAAGTTGGGGCCAGCAAAACATCATCGGCAGTTGGACCATTTGGACTAAGATACCGGAACCATCGGGGAAATACATTGAAGATTTTCGTGGAAGCAAATCCATTAGTATTAATGAATACCTGGTTTAAGCTACACCCAAGAAAATTGTACACCTGGAAATCTGTACAGGGTGCTGTGGGAAGGATTGTAAGAAATCAGATTGATTACATGCTAGTAAATAAGAGGTGTGGTTTACCTGGTTAAACGATTTGAGAGCATTTAACTGCATTTCTGCTGACTCTTTAGAGCAGCGGCGTCGAAAGTGCGAATTGCCATGATGGTTGCCAACCTTCTTAGAGGAGATAGAACATGAAGACGAAGAAGAAATAAGAGGTATAGGAACAGCTGTACATCTTTCAAAACATACCCGGGGGCAGACATAAATTCTGATCATGTACTTTCTTCTTCTTACTGTGCCCCATCCCTAAGAACATTTGACTCTATCTGCAGCCGGTTTGAAAAGTTCTATTGACGTTTTCCCACTCCATTTTCTCAGATTATTCAATCAGGACGTGCGTCTTCTCTCCGGTCCTCTTTTGCCTTCCACCTTCCCTTGTATGACCAGCCGTATCAATTCGTATTTCTCGTTTCTTAGTATTTGACCAACGTAGCTCATTTTTCTTTTCTTTTTTTGTGTTAGATTATAGGCTTTTCCTTGTTGGTACAAACTCAGCACGATTCAAGTGTATTTAGTTGGATGGCTGGTCTTGTAGATGTTTTCCTCAATACATAGATTTCGCTTGTTGATGACCTGAGAGGCCCTGTAATCTTTTAGGTTTGTCCCTCTCCTGCCGGATCTCTGCTTCCGATTTACGTGATCGGTAATGTCTACTGGTTTTGTTACCATTGCGATCATTGCCATGATGATTGTTCGAGAGATATCCTTAAGGATCTTCAATGTGGTAGTTATCCATATTATCCTTATGCCATTGGTTACTCGTCCGCCCGAAGCCGTTGGTCAATAAGTGGATGATTGCTTATGCTGGTAATAATTCAGTTCATTTGTAACCCTAGATAAGGGGCCCCTACAGGGTGCTATCAGCCGGGCCAGCTGAACCCCGGTTTTTTATAGAGGTGTTACTCCTCTCCCCTCCTCTTTTATCCGGGCTTGGGACCGGCTGCGTCAAGTGTAGAGCTACTTAGTTCACCCCACACCTATCACAGGTAGAGTTGATCATGTACCAGTTGTAGATAATTTCAAAGTCAGAATGAAGAAGGTTACAAGTAAGTCGATGGAGAAGTCATCATCATCATTAGCCATTTTGCGTCCACTGCTGAACATAGGCCTCCCGTTAATAATTCCATTGCATCCGATCTTGAGCAACTTGAATCCAGTTAGACTGGATGCGCTTTAAATCGTCCGACCACCTTGTTAGAAGACGTCCTCGACTACGATAAGCATCGTGTCTAGGCCTCCACTCTAAAATTTTCTTTGTCCATCTTCCATCTCTGACCCTAGCAACATGTCCTGCCCAGTTCCATTTCAGGGTTGTAATTCTTTCAACTGCGTCCGTCACACCAGTTTTTCTCCTTACTATCTGACTCGAAACTCTGTCCCTGAGTGATACGCCCAACATTGACCTCTCCATCGCTCTCTGTGCCACTTGTATCTTATTAATTACTTTTCTGGTAAGTGTCAATGTTTCTGCTCCATATGTCAGAACTGGAAGTACACACTGATCAAAAACTATTCTCTTCAAGCACATGGGAATAGCTGATTTAAAGACTTCCCTCAGTTTTCCGTAAGCTGCCCATGCCAGTCCTATTCTCCTTTTTAACTCTGTTGTTTGATTGTCTCTTCCCAATTTAATCTCGTGGCCCAGATACTTATAGGAATACACTTGTTCAAGTTGCGTGCCATTAGTGGAAATGTTTTTTGCCAGTACCAGGTATTGTGTTTTGGAAAAATTAATTTTAAGGCCAACTCGTGCACAAGAGCTCTGAAGGTCTTGAAGAAGTTGGCATGCATCATCTACCTGATCTGCAATAAGGACTATGTCGTCTGCAAACCTCAAGTTGTTCAAAAATTCCCCATTTATATTTAATCCAATATTTTCCCAATTATTTTTTCTCATAGCACTCTGTAATAGGGCGGTGGATAGTTTAGGAGAGATAGTGTCTCCTTGCCTAATACCTTTCTCCTTGATGGAGAAGTATGATGTTAGAAAACTGAAAGATCCCAATGTTCGATAAAGGTGAGTGAAAATCTACAACCTTGAAGGGTATTTTAATCTCACGACGTGTCTACAATTAACCATTCAATGAAATCTGGCCACCAGCTCCCTGAGTTATCGATTTTTGATCTCTACTTTAACATTATACTTTTATCTTTTAGGTTTATGGATTGGCGAGTGAGATAGCAAGGAAATTAAAGATTCCAAGGATTTATCTCTCGGCCAACAGTGGTGCCAGAATCGGTTTAGCAGAAGAAGTAAAGGCCATTTTTAGGGTCGCATGGGAAGATAATAAGGAGCCAGATAGAGGCTTTAGATATTTATACTTGACTCCCGAAGATTATGCCAAAGTAAGCTCCACGAATTCGGTGAGGGCTGTTTTAATTGAAGATGAAGGAGAATCTCGATACAAAATTACAGATATTATAGGTAAGATATTTAAAATCTCTTATTTAACATATAAAAATAGTTTTCTATGCGTATACAAAGAGAACATTTAGGTTGGAATCAATATATTGTATAATGGGAAGTAAATAAACATTATTATTATTGTATTTACCTATTTTTAGGTAAAGAGGATGGATTAGGTGTTGAGAACTTAAAATACGCCGGTATGATAGCCGGTGAAACGTCCGCTGCTTATGAAGAAGTTGTTACGATTTCGATGGTAACTTGCAGAGCCATTGGTATTGGTTCCTACCTAGTTCGTCTAGGACAGAGAACTATTCAAATCGAAAATTCTCCTATTATTCTTACCGGATATGCTGCTTTGAATAAAGTAAGGTATTTAAGATTACAAACATAGACACGGCTGTTTAATTTAATTTTTTTTAGTTACTGGGACGAGAGGTGTATGCCTCTAATAATCAACTTGGAGGAATTCAAATAATGTACAACAACGGTGTAACTCACAAAACGGACCAAACCGATTTAGAGGGTATTTACACAATATTGAGATGGCTTTCATATATTCCAAAGGTAAGTATCTAGCCTAACTGTTAAGTGAATATTCTCTTTTAACACTGGAATAAGTTTAGTGAAGTAAAAAAGGTTTTATTCAGTTTTCCTTTGCCCAGTGTCAACTTCGTAGATTTGGATGAATTGGAAATCTTGTTTAATATTTTGTGTGATCCAATGCTTAATACATCTAACTTCTGTCTTTTTAGGCGGTTTCCATTCTGCACATATACTAAATCTTCAACTTTTAATTAAATTTTCTTCCTATGTAGATCGAACCGCTTTGTAGTATAATTGTATGATTTTTTTTGTATTTCTCTCTTTCTCTTTCAAAATCTGCCTGTGTTAAATTTTTTCACATGCGAAAAATCATGTCATTTTTTTGCTGTATTACAAACTATCCTTCTACCACAATTTTACAATCATTGCCTTAGTCTAACCCTTCCTATTACGCTACAACCTCCCCTCCTTTAGAAACGATAGCAAACAAGAAGTCCCTCTCTTTCGTCTGCTGAGTCTCGCTAGGCAGACGTACTCTCTCTCTTGCCTGTTACCTATCGCTTGGTACAGACGTATCCCTCTTGGATGTTATCTATCGCTGAAGAGACGCTCTCTTTTCCCTATTGACTGTCGTTTGTGACAGGGGTGTTCTCTCTACTGTTGACTGCCGCTATTTAATTATCTCTCTCCCGCTTTTGGTTACGCGAAAAATACCGCAAATAATATTTTAAATCGCGTACAGACGAAAATGTACTCTATTCTAAACACGTGTTCAGAAACCGGTACCGGAATAGATTCCCTGTATGAAGAACAACCGCGAGTGAAAGCCTGTCAATACCGCGAGTGTGTGTGGAGCAGTAATATTGGTAAGACTTTGTATAAACTTAGTTTGCTATTGTCTGTATAATCCTTTACTACATATTTTAATTTACTTGAACCAGCCTTATGTAATACAGTCCTCATACATTGAAATTATACTCATAATTTCACATATGTACACCCTTTTTGTACAGCCTTTGTACCTAAGGATTTAAGTTCATTTGGCAGAGTGCTTACATTTTCTCCTTGTAAGAAATATTTCGGTACAAATTTTGAAATTGTATGTTCTGTCTCATTATATTTTTGAACATACTCTTGGGCAATTGTCCATGCTGTTTTCTTATCACTTTAATTTATTTGAATCGTATTATTTTATTAAGCAATGTTTGGTTTAGTCTTTCATTGATACCGTTTGAAAGTGCTACACCAACAGCAGTGAATATCATTTTCATTTGATTGTTCCGTAGAAAATCTTTGAATTCTTTGGAATTTATACCAGGATATTGATTTGTTGAAACCAAATGGGACGCAAGTGCATTGAAAATGGCCTCCTTGTGTTACAAATGCCGTTTTTTCCTTATCTTGTATTCTCATAGGTATTGAAAAGATTGCTGAATTGATGTCGAAAGTGGAAAAGTATTTACCGTTTCTAATTTTTACCATTAAGTCCTCAATCAATGGTAAAAGTCTTGTTTTTCTGTCTTCTCCTTTTTTATATGCGAAGGTTACCGGAGCAGCAAATGCATTGTATGATTATTTAATTAATTTTGTCTTTAACAGCTCTGTATTTGGTTTTCTATCTTTAATGGTCTGTATTGCCGTTTGGAGCAGTTTTTATCTACCATTAAGTCCATATGAGCTTCATAATCCTTTACAGCGCCTACATCATATGTCTTTAGCAAATACTGATTTATATTTAATAATCAATTCCTCAATTTCTGATTGCTGATTTAAATCTAAATTCTAAATGATTAGTTCTTATTTCAAAATTGTCTGTATTTATACTCTCATTAGAATTTATTTCATATTTGTATATCTCATTATTTTTTTCTTTTGGTGCATTTGAAACTATGTCACCTGGAAACTCCCAATTACAGATAATAATCAAAATGGACAAAATACGGTGTTAAAGACTTAATTCATTTATCCTAAAAAATTAAAAAGTATCAACATTCAAAGTCATATATATCTGCTAAATTAACTCATCTTCTTCACGTGCCATCTCCGCGACGGAGGTTGGCAATCATCATGGCTATTCTGATCTTAGATGCTGCTGCTCTGAATAGTTCAGTTGATGTGCATCCGTACCATTCCCTCAAGTTACGCAACCATGAGATTCTTCTTCTTGCTACACTTCTCTTGCCCTAGATATTCCCTTGTATAATCAATTGAAGTAGGTTGTATCTCTCATTAGATACATGTTTCCAGTACTTCCATTCTTTTGTTGATTCTTCTCATGACTTCGTTGTTTGTCACATGCTCGGTCCATGATATATTCAGAATTCTTCTATGTACCCACATTTCAAATGCTTCCAACTTTTTAGCAGTCGACGCGTTAAGTATCCATGCTTCCATCCCATAAGGCAGAGTCGAGAAAATATAACACTTTGCCAGCCTAACTCACAAGTCCAATTTTAGTTCTCTTGCACAAAGTACCTTTCTCATTTTATTGAAGTTTGTACGTGTTTTCTCTATTCGTACGTAATTGTTTGTGTAATTAATTAGTGTGCCAAGATAGTGGTAGTTTTCAACTTGTTCTAAAGCACTACTGTTAATTGTCAGGCTTTCACCATTATTTTGGTTTTTGATATCCTCATAAATTTGGTTTTCTTGGTGTTTATTGATAATCCATATTCTTCTCCATACTCAACTATGTTGTTCATTAGCTTTTGGAGGTCTTGGAGGTTGTCTGCTGTTATGATAGTATCGTCCGCATATCTAATGTTGTTAACTGGTGTTTTTTTCTTCAGAGTATGCATTGAATAGTAGTGGTGACAATACACACCCCTGTCGCACTCCTTTTTTAACTTCGAACTCTTCTGATCTGTGTTCATTAATACGTACGTGTGCCTGCTGTTTATAATATAGATTTGTTATAATTCGAAGGTCATTGTATTGTAGTTGTTTTGAATTGAGGATGTCCATTAACTCTTTGTGGCGGACTCTGTCGAAAGCTTTGTTGTAGTATATGAAACAGACGTACATATCTTGGTTCACATGCAAATTAACTCATAGTAGGAGTCTAAAAACAATGTTTGTTTTAGGACAAACTGTCTCCCCTACCAATAGTTAGTCCCGTAGATCCAATCGATAGAGAAGTTACTTTTACTCCAACAAAAACACCATACGATCCAAGATGGATGCTGGAAGGAAGACAATCTCCCAGTAAGTACAGTGTATTTTTATTTACTATATTTTTTTATCAAATGTTCATGTTTACTACTATAATTACAAAAAAGATATTGTTATGAAACTAGTTCTTTGTAGAATATCGAAGATTATTACATTTTTGCGTGGGAATCGGCCACAAATTGTAAAATATATATATTTTTAAGTTTGATTAAGATAAACTTGGCAAACTTCGAAATACTCGAGAATCTTTCAAAGTCTGACATTCCAATAGGAAGGACGCCTGCTACACTGTATTACAGGAATGATTTCAGCAGCAAATAATAGTGTTTAAAAGTATAAAAGTGAAAAATGTGTAAAACTACAAATCTAGTTCATTCAAACCATTAACGGTTTTGGTGGTTTTACTTTTTTTCATAAAATGACGAACAAAATGCCTTGCTCGCTCCAAAAAGCGTAAGCCATCACAACTTCTTGTGAGATTTTTTTGATTTTATGAACTTATCCAGTGCAAATAGACAGCGGTTTGCGGATTGGATTCTGTCTTTTATTTCTTCTGTTTGAAAGGGTTTTATATACCGTGTTTAGGAGTGAGATTCCTCTACAATTCGCGCATTTTGTTTTGTCCCTTTTTTTGTGGATGGGAACTATTATGTTTTCCTTCCATCGTACTGGTATCCTTTCTTCTAACCATACGTGCGTTATTAGCTGGTGGATTTGGCGATGTAGTGCGTCTCCTCCATATTTCAGAAGTTCTGCTGGTATCTCGTCCGTACCCGGCGCTTTGTGATTTTTCAACTTATTTAAGGCCTTTTAGGTTTCTTTAAAGGAGGGATTTTTGACGGACATGTCCGCTGTGATATAGATCTCTTCTTTGTGCTGTTAAGTTCTTAGTGTATGATGTTTAGAAGGTCCCTAAAATACTTTTTCCATTCTTCAGTTACTTCTTTACCGTCGATTATCATACGGCCTTGATTGTCTCTCAGTGTATGGATGGAATTGGTTCTATGTCAGCAAAACTCTTAATACAAATCAAGTAAATGGTGTATCACCACTGTATAGTACCAATTTTGACGTAAAGCAAGCGGTACTCACTCGAGACAATGCAGTCGTTTAGATATACTCAGAAAATGCTCTTTTAGTATACATATTAACAAGGAATTTACTTAAAACGTACACTTACAAAACACAAAAGGCTGCTATACAGTCTAACGAGCCTCTATAATATGGTAATCTACAGATCTAACTAGTTTTTGTATTTTAGACGATAGCAACATTTGGGAGAGTGGATTCTTCGACAAAGGTTCCTGGTCGGAAATAATGCAGCCGTGGGCTCAAACCGTAGTTGCTGGTAGAGCTAGATTGGGAGGTATACCTGTGGGAGTTATTGCAGTAGAAACTAGGACTGTAGAACTGACGCTACCTGCCGATCCTGCCAATTTGGATTCTGAATCAAGGGTAAGAGATTTAATAGTTTTTTTTTCTGGAAACCTTCTATTATTTAACCTCTCTGTTATTCACCGGTCTTACTGTATGCATTTGGCTTATTAGCGCATTCTTGAATCCTTCGATTATTCACCTTATGGTTGATTTAATTTACACAAAGATCTCTTTGCATAGTTACTAAATTTGTGCGAGTTTATTTTCTAGATTAAAACACTTTTTACGGTTCTTTTCTTAAATCAAAGTTATGCAGTACACGCGTACACTCTTCCCAAACCAGTATTTCCCATTTGAGGATCTTGAATTAAATTTTGACTCATTTTAAGAAGAGAACTCTTTACTACTGGCAAATATGCTCATTTACAAGATGTTCATTTGCAAATTATAGTAATATAAGTTTGCTCCACCGTCTTCCTGGATATTTCTCAAGCTTTTGTTAAGTTATGGCATCACAGGATTAATACATAAACTACACTATACAGATTGAACGAATTTAAAACGGATCATACAATTTAATATATGTCTGTTTGAACTGCATTTGAAATAGTGGACCAATATAAAACTTGGACAAAAATAAATCCATACCCGGTGATAGACATTGTATAAAATATCGTTCAACTATCTGTCTCGCAACAATGTTGTTTGCGTAACAATGTTGCCAATCGCCGTGTAATAATCCGATTTGCGGATCTTTTTGAGAGTTATATCTTCTTCGTATCTTTAAATAAATCGGATATTTGCCTATATTTTTCATTGTATTTACCAATCTACTACAACAGACTAATAACAAAAATAAACTTAATGGCTTGTAGTTATTTCAGAAGTTTGTAGTTATTTTAGAAACATCTAGTGGAATGATATTGGCAACACCGCTCAAAATCTCCATCTCCGATAAACGAAAGAGGGGCTTGCCTAAAGGCGGCCACTCACGATACAGCGGCATTGTTTAACTTCGTTCAACTACACACTTGCTTTGATCATATTATAGAAAATCGAAATGGCTTGATTTAGCGAGAATTTTTTAAGAGAGTTTTTTAAATTATATAAAAAACAAGAATGCTTATAGCGAATAAAAGGTAAAACGTGTCACGATAGAAACGCCCGAAAACAGGCAATGGACATTCTAGTTTTAGAGTTCCAAGAAGTAAACAAAAATGCGAATGAAGAGTATATAAGAAAAAAAAATTAATAATTTTAGAACATCCTATAAAAGAGAATTAAAATCAGCAGTGCAGTCCAGTAAATCGGGTGCAGGGGCAGACGAGATTTATTTTGCACCAAAATCTTGGATTCTTTGCACTAGAATCTACGTTTTATTTTAGTTTTCTTTTTACGCTTAGTTATACACAAAGTAAGAGACGCTAAAATGATTGTTTGATTTGACATGGTCGAGAGACAGATATACCAACAAATTGAACAACGCCTCTGTCCGATTATGTCGAACGACACCGCTGTACCGTGAGTGGCTGGCTTTAGGCAGCGATAGGTGGTTTGACCACCTATGAATGAGTTCTTGAATTAGTTCAGAATCCAGCAGCCCGCTAAAGTATTGGATTTTTATAATATAATTATTTGACAACCTTTTGTTGACCAACCACCTACAGCAGAATTGAGCCGAATTTATTTCGTTCAATCTGATATATCTTCCAAAACACTACTCCCTACTCCTAGAATTATTTATAAACAACAGATGTTTAAGAATCAAACAGGAAGAAGCATACTTTGATTTGAGCCAGATTGGTGCTGGTGTTTCACAATAAAGTGTCTTTGGACCAGTTTTATGCATTTATACCAGAGATTCCTCCGGACGTAAGTAAGATACTCTTGCTACATTTACTGATGACATGGTAATTATCTCGGAAATCATTATGAAGGCACTGCATAACCTATAATTACTTGTATCAAATCAATAGTTTAGATGGACTAAAAAAAAGGAGAAAAAGTAAATCAGATGTTAAAAAGAAAATACGAGAGAATAGAGTCAGATATAAAAAGTGTATTGTTGCTTGTACCTGTCGACACATAGACGTGACTCATAACAAGATGATGTTTGGAATTCTGGCTATTGTTCATTTTAATCGCTAAAAATTGTCATATGTATCGCCATACTAATAATACATTCATTTGATATTTTCTTAATATTTAAAATGTTTCAGACCGTATCTCAAGCTGGTCAAGTATGGTTCCCAGATTCTGCTTATAAAACCGCTCAAGCTATTAAAGACTTTTCTAGAGAAGACCTCCCATTAATAATCTTCGCCAATTGGAGGGGTTTCAGTGGAGGAATGAAAGGTATATTTACGTTACAATGAATTTATATGCAATACTGACTTATTTTTACACTTTTTAGATATGTACGAACAGATTGTCAAATTTGGTGCCTATATCGTGGACGGATTGAGGGAATACAAACAACCAATCATCATATATATTCCTCCTAATGGTGAACTTCGAGGAGGTGCTTGGGCAGTCGTAGATCCAACTATTAATTCTAGGTATATGGAGATGTTTGCAGATAATGATAGCAGGTCAGTTGGATTTCAATAATCATTTAGTTTCATCAGATCAAAATTGCAGTATTACTTCTAAGTCTAGAGTTTATAATGAAAAGAAAAGCAATTTTATTTTCATATTTTTTGTTATAAAATATTTTTGCTGTATTAAAATGCACGTGTCACCCAATATCGCTGCCTCAGTACAACACTGTACTATCTCAAAATCAACCATTTTGAGGAAAACGGGTTTAAAGTTTTTCATGTCCTAATACTGACGCCTCTTATGTCATCTTAAAGTCATGACATCTTAAAAAAAAACTACTTTTTTGGCTGTATTCTGTACAGAATACAGACTTTAACAGAATAAACTACACTGACTTCGTTATCATCATCATTGTCTTTGGTCCTCAACCCACGAAAAAAGTTATGATAAGGCGTTGGTATTAATCTTGCATCACATAAACTTATTAAATTAGCTTTTTTTTTAAGAGGAATTCCTGGTGGAGCTCGATATGCTTATTTTTGAGTTGGTGAGAGATTTCTTTGGCTGCTAAATCAACTAATGATTCAGAGTTCGGCAGTTTGTTTTTTTAGGTTTCGTTGGGACACCTCTAGAAGTCAGTGAATAATATCCTCTAGACACAATAACAAGAGAACCGTCTTTCTTTTTTGTTATTTTATCATCCAGGTTAAAAGACATCATTTCCTTTTGCTCATAAGAACACTTATAAAAAACAGTCAATGGGGTTGATTTCCTTACTTGAAATGCTTTAATATACCCATATGCCCATACTACTTTCTCACCGGATATGGAGTATTGGAAATTTTTACCTGGAAAAGAATTTTCTATTGCAGTCCAGTCGTATACATCTGATGTGTCAAACAGTGTTTAAGTTATGATCCCTACTACTGTTTATGTCTTGCTGTTTCTCTGCACGAGATAGTTCTTTCTCCTTTTTGTGAATTTTTACTTCCTCTTCTATATTTTGTTTTTCTTGCTTTGTACTGTTTTGATAATTGGCACATAAATCCAATATTAAATTTTGTATTAAATATTTCTTCATGCTTGTGTTTTTTAGCAAACAGAACTCCTTTTTAAATGCAATTTACTTTATACAACCTATACATCACCATCTATTAACTCCCTTTTATATCAGCTCGACAGTAGTGCGATTCAATTCTCGGAAATGAATTGATGTGGTCATAAATACTCTTCTTTGAGTTTTTCTTTATAGATTCCCCACTTTCCTCAGAAACTTCTTCAATAGGCCTATTAAACGTTTGCTCATTTATTTCGTTCTTTTCAGGATTAGGCTAATCTTGTTCAAAACTGCTTTCTGATTGTGAGTCTGAGTTCAACAAGCTAAAATTAGGTACACAATCCTTGTCATTTGGGTCTTCTCCATTACGATCTAAAGAGTTTTGGACTTCATTATTGACAATCGGATTTATCAAATCGTAAGGGCTGGTGTCACTATTACTTATTATTTTATGTCTATCACTATCGCTCTCTATAATCGTAGACATTTCTTCTTCTACTAACGTATACACAAAATCCGCTTCTACAATGTCCTTTTCTCTGAAACACCGTCAGGTATATTTTCCAAATGGAAAGTAAGTATTTCTCTATCACCTAACTTATGAAGTGCTAAAGTGAAATTTCCAATTGGTAGAATGACATTTTCGTCATTACCTAATTGAACATTAGGCTGAAGTTCGTTACTAGCTGGCGGTATTAGATTGTCACTATTTGGAATATTATATTCGAATAAAATCTGATTTCTGATTTGATCTGATGAATTCGCGACAATCCAAACATTCCTACAATATAGTCCAAGCAATACTATAACATTTCATTATATTACTGTATTGCTCTGAGTATTATACAATTGTTTTAAGGCAACACCATAACATTTTTAGTTATTATTCTATTGCCCTGTAATATAAGGTCTTTAAGCCAAAAAAAATATTTTAAAATAGTACAGTATTGATCTGAAAAGAACCACATTCATTCGTGGGAATTTATTCTTATCTGAAAACATACAAATTTTGAGATGTTACAGTATAGCACTGCACACAAAAGAGGCTCAGGTCTTTAAGCCAAAAAATATTTTAAAATAGTACAGTATTGATCTGAAAAGAACCATTATTCATTCATGGGAATTTATTCTTATCTGAAAACATACAAATTTTGAGGAATTTCACAGTTCCTTGGAATTTCACAAATTCCAAGGAACTTGGTAGTGTGTGTGGCATCATTTACGTTTCCCTGTGAATTATTACAAACTACAGTTGGTTATTGTTTGAGTTTAACGATCATTTTAAACATATCAGTTTAAACATAAGAATTTTCTATTGCCAGTGGTGTTTTTATTTCGTCATAAAGTGCATCAGAGATCCCGTATTTTGGATTATCTACAGATTGCAAGGTCAGTCTTTTTATTTTGTTTATATCTATTTACGGCGATTCACTCCCACTGCTGCTCTGCTGTTCCCACCATGTCGACCTGCGCTAACTGTTCAAAGTCAATCGATGATCAAGAATCATCAAAACAACTTCAATGTGAAGCATGTAAACAGAACATACATTTAGCTTGCACTGATCTACGAGCCGAAGATCGCGTTACTAGGCATAAGCTACGCGGAATTAAAATTCTTTGCAACAACTGCTGCTCTAATATCGAAAACTTTGCTAATTTAAAGACGCTTTTAAAAGATCTAAAAGAGAATTTTCAATCAAAAATTGATCTAATAGACCAAAAAGCTAATGATATCAGTGAAAGACTTTTACAGATCGAAAACAAGTTATCTATTGAGGATCATTCTTCATCTCCAAAATTTACAGATACCATAGCAAATGAAGCAGTTGATCGCATTAACCGGGCTAAGAATATTTTTGTTAGGGGTGTACCCGAAATTACAGGAGACATTGAAACAAAGAAAAGTCACGATGATGGAATATTAAAAAATATTTTAGATACTGTAATGTCTAACTCCACTCCTGTCACATTTTTCAGGACTGGAAAACCAAACAATCGCTTCCCTAGGATGATAAAGGTCATTATGCAAAATGAACATGAAGCCAAACATATTTTGAAGAACAAAAAGAAACTTTTACAAAACGTCTCTTTAAAAAACGTTTCCATTATCGACGATAAGACTCCAAATCAAATAGAATGCCTAAAAGAACTTCGAGTGGAACTGGAACAGAGAAAATCGAATGGAGAGGAAAATTTAACCATAAAATATATACAAGGTGTCCCGAAAATTGTAAACTTTCGTCACTAATTCTGATATTTCAGGTTTTCATAATTGGCTCTGTTTCTATACTAATCTAGCTACTTTAAATTCCAAATTTAATGAATTTTTATGCAACATTCAAAACCTAAATCCTCAAATAATTCTTATCACTGAAACATGGTTAACACCAAATGATCCTGACTCCCTTTATAACATTGATAATTATTCCCTTTATAGGTGTGATCGTCGTAATCGGCGTGGAGGAGGAACTTGTATCTACTTGTCTTCAGAAATTACTAATAATTTCTCTGTTACATCTCTTGATATTACTGTCCCTAATATGGAATTTCTTGGCTTAAAAATATGTCATAAAAACTCTTTTGTTTTTCACCTAGTATGCGTTTATCGGCCTGGTGATTCTAGATTAGCAGATGATGAGTCCCTTATCGCATCACTTGATGAACTGTCTAGGCTAGAGAATTTAATTGTTATTGGAGACTTTAATTTTAGAGACATTTCGTGGCCTATAACTGATCCACCTAGTGGCTTAACAACTTCCAAAAATGCATTTACAGATTTTGTACTAAATTCTAATTTACATCAATTCATAACGGAGCCGACTCGTTTCAGAATCAATAATTTACCATCTATTTTGGACTTGGTATTCTCTAATGATCCCCATTTATTAACACATCCCTTAATAAGTTCTCCAGTAGGTAACTCAGATCATGCAGTCATAACGTTTCATATTCAGTTTAACTTACAGTACTGTACTCCTAATCCTAATGTTAATAAAACGGTATATGAAATAATTGATTTTGAAAATGCAAATCGCCAACTGACTGACATTGATTGGAATGATGTTTTTGGCAACATAAGGAATCCAGTTGTATTCTGGGATAAGTTCCTACAGGTTGTTAATTTATGCAAAAACCAAAATACCCTCAAAAAAACCATATACAAAAATAACATAAAACCTTGGATTAATGGGGAATTAATATATCTGATCAAGTATAAAAGAAAGTTGTGGAACAAATATAGACGTACAAATCGCATAGAGGATTTACAAATTCATCGAGACTTTGCCAGAGATTTAAAGAAATCTTTACATGAAGCTCGTGTTGCCTACGAAGAGAGTATAGCCATCAGTAATAACTGTAAAAAATTGCACAAGTATATTAGATCTTCGTTGACAACAAAAGTTTCTATACCTTTACTGGAAAATGATAATGGCGATATATCCCAAAATAACTATGAGAATGCCGAACTTCTCGCTAGTACTTTCTCCAAGGTTTTCTCTGTTGAACCCACTAATTATCAGTTCCCTAATATTACTTCGTCACGAGTTTCTTCTTCTCTTGAAAATATAATCATTACTCCTGAAAAAGTTAAACATCATCTTCAAAGCCTAAAAAATAATTCGTCTCCTGGTCTCGACTTAATATCTTCTTTATTTTTAAAGAAATGTTCTGATGCTTTAGCTTATCCACTATATGTGATTATGTCCCTATCATTCACCACACATATTTTGCCTCCTATATGGAAAACCGCATCTGTAACACCGATCTTTAAAAAAGGGAACAAACTGGATCCTAATAACTATCGTCCTATCAGCTTAACACCTATAATATCTAAGATAATGGAAACTATTATTGCCGAGACAATTTCTGATTTTCTGCAAAATGAACTGGTTATACCAGAACAGCAGCATGGTTTTGTCAAAGGACGTTCTACAATGACAAATCTTCTCTGGTGTGTCAATGAATGGTCAAGAGCATTAGACAGAAAAGCCCCGGTGGACATTATATACCTCGATTTTGCTAAAGCTTTCGATAGAGTTCCAAAACGAAGACTATTACATAAATTGGAACACCTTGGTATCCGTGGTCAACTACTGAAATGGATCGACGCGTATTTAACAGATAGAAAATTTTGTGTTAGAGTTGGGGACTCTTTCTCAGTTGAGAGAACGGTTTTAAGTGGGGTACCGCAAGGATCAGTTTTGGGCCCACTCTTATTCATAGCATACTCAAGTGATCTACAATTTCATATTAAATGCAACAATGCTTTCTATGCAGATGACACGAAGCTATTTTCCGATCCCTCCGTAAATTTCCAGTTACTACAAGATGACCTTGATTGCATATCGGAATGGTGCTCTACCTGGATGCTGCCTCTTAATGTGGAAAAATGTGTAGTTCTTCACATGGGTAAAAATAATCCGTGTCTTCCTTACTCTATTAATGGGCGCGTGTTAAAAACAGTGAAATCGCATAATGATCTAGGCGTTATAATTAATAACAATCTAAGTTGGTCGGAACACATTTTGCATATTTCTAAAAAAGCTAACAGTAAATTATATCTACTAAATAAAACGTTTGCGAAAATGTCATTTATGAGCTCAATTCATCTGTATAAACTGTACATTCGTCCAGTTCTGGAATATTGCGGAACTGTTTGGTGTCCAGTATTAGTGCGCGATCGTAATATTCTCGAAAACGTACAGCGGCAGTGCACCAGGATGTCTTTTGGTCGCTCAAGACCTACGTATACAGAAAGACTGAATATGGCCAATCTCACTACATTTGAACAACGTCGACTTCGAGGCGACTTAATTATTACGTTTCGGATAGTAAAATACAACTTTGGAAATTTGGGGAATATGTTCATAATAGACAATGACAATCGTCTTCGTGGCCACAAACTTAAGTTTAAAAAGGAAACTTTTTTAACAACAACCAGACAATTTTTTCTCTGTAATCGAGTGTTCTCGTTATGGAATAGCCTTCCGGCTGAGATCATAGATGCTCCATCTGTCAATATTTTCAAAAATAAACTGGATGACCTTTTGTTCCATAGTTGAACATTTAATTTGTACTAAACACTTGCTATTACCTATGTTATTGTATATTCATTTAGTTAGTTAGTGCTTAATATGTAACTACTGTAATGTAACAATTTAATTGTACACTATATAACATTGTAGTCACATGGGCATATGGGTTTTGCAACCCCTGCTCAAATCTATTGTAAATAATAATAATAATAATAATAATGTTACAGTATAGCACCGCACACAAAAGAGGCTCAGGTCTTTAAGCCAAAAAAATATTTAAAATAGTACAGTATTGATCTGAAAAGAACCATAATTCATTCATGGGAATTTATTCTTATCTGAAAACATACAAATTTTGAGATGTTACAGTATAGCACTGATACAGCGATATGTCTAGTATGAGATTGTGTTTGTTATGAAAATATTCATTTGTAATAGTTAATGAGCAAATATATACGTTTCTCTTTGAAAGTGATAAAGTTTCGACAAGTTATGTAGTGTACTCTACATATAAATGTTTTAGGGGTGGTATTTTGGAACCCGAAGGTATAGTCGAAATTAAATTCCGCAAAAAAGACTTGGTCAAAGCTATCCACCGCATAGATCCCACCGTCAAAGAATTAGACGAGCAAGTCAACCAGATAATGAGGGAACTTCCTCGAGATCGTTCTGCTAGCATTACACAACCTCGTGAACGATCCGCCAGCATCACTGCCACCGTCGAAAGACCCAAACCTCCAGAAGTAGTTGGTCTAGAAAAGAAAATCCAACAAAGAGAAAACTTCCTTTTACCTATGTACCATCAAGTGTCGGTACATTTCGCAGATCTGCACGATACTCCTGAGAGGATGTTAGAGAAAGGGGCTATCAATGTAAGTACACTTTTAATTCAGTTGTTCTATTCTGTAATGTGAAATGTACATAAATCTTGTGCTAGGTTAAAGCAAAGTTTCTGTATAAAAAATATATTTTAGGAAATCGTACCGTGGAGAAAATCTAGGAAAATAATCTATTGGCGTCTGAGGAGACGTCTTCTTGAAGAAAGAGTAATCAAAGCACTTATGGAAGTCCAACCAGAATTGGCAGTAGGACAAGGGGAAGCAATGCTCAGGAGGTGGTTTGTGGAAGACAAAGGTGCTTCTGAGGTAAGTTCAAGCATTAAGTGTGCGTAAACAATATCCTACAATAATATATAATTATCCTATTTGCTATGTGACCAATAAAAAAATTGTTTGTATTTTTAGGGATATAAATGGGACAAGAATGAAGTGGTAGTTCAATGGATCGAAGAGCAGTTACAGAAACCATCACACGAATCCATTATAAGCCACAATATACATGCTGTAAAGAAAGACGCAGTTCTCAATAATATTAAATCTACTTTAGAGGTAAGATTTGGATTTTTTCGTTGTATATATATGCCAACATTTACTTTTTATATGCTTTTGAAGTGAATACTTCTTATCGTTCAGCATGAGGTTTTCTTATTTCCCATTTACGTGTCTTAAAACGTGTCTCGTGTCTTACGAGTAAAAATTTACTCTACTCTACACTACTCTAACGCGCTATCAGAAGTATTCAATTCAGTCGGCACTCTCCAAGTATCACGCACTATTTTTTTTTAACTAATAGATGTATAACTTTGTATAATTTATGTTATAGGATTGTCCAGATGTCGCATTGGATGCGGTCGTAGCTATAATAGAAAAACTAAGTGACAACCAAAAAGCAGAAGTGATACGAACACTATCCCAATTGGGTTCGCTAGAAAATATAGATTAGTTTGTACAAAATAGGACTGATATTTTCTTAGAATTTTATACTTCAGGGAATTTTTATTTAATAATACGGCAACGAGTAAGCAAAAACAAAACTATGTAGTTAGTTTCATTTTTCATTTGATAATATTATCAATAGACTTCTATGTGTTGCTAATAAAGTTACACTAAACATAGAATAGAGGGGAAAACTGAGTTTTTACGTCAAATTTAATGAATATCAATCTGAAGTTAGGTACGTCATTTTAGATTGTTGGTTAGGTATGTAGGTGACGCTATAACACCGAAGAGTAGACATCTAAACGCAAAATGAATGTCAATGTACATCATAGTTCACTTGCACTTGCAGTAGTAAATACTAAATACAGGCAGATATTATTCTAGTTGCCTTGATTGACATTTGAATCTACATTTTACGGATTGTGATATATTAATGTGACGTCATAGTTTCAGTTGGTTATCTTGAAAAGTTGTAACTGTTATCTGATCTGCCATCATACGTCATTGCATCTATCTCGAGACAAATTGTTTATCTCATATCTTATTTACCGATTGTATGATATTTATCTTTCTTTAACTTACGACATTAAATGAATAAATGGACCAAAGCACTTACGATGAAATTCAATGTCCCAACTCAGCACATAGTTCCATAAAGAAAACAAATTAGTACAAAAACTACTTCCAGTATCAAATGTATATGTGCTTTTCAAAGAGTTCTTCGTTTGAACGCAATACTTATCGGCCAGTTTCTGAAATTTTCTACGTTTTATACACAAAAAAATTCAGTAAGTTCATATATTTTTCCCCTGTAGCAAAGAACTCATTAATGATAAAAAGGGTCGTTTTTGTTGCTGTGGATTGTCGTAATGTACATTATTTGATGGAATTCCGTCTAATGTTACCTTTTGGTGATATTCTAGATATATTTGTCTTATAGAGAAACGGCAGGATGAACCACACCGTTCACGACTGTATAGGACTTTTCATCAGCAGCCATGTTTTTCGTACAGACAGATTTGACAATGACGTATGATATCTATTATACGTCATACGTACTGGTTTATAAATTTATAAAGAAATATTTATTAAATAAATATTTTTTATTTAATAAAGAAATAACATGATTTATATAGAAATAAAGGTCTTAGAAAATTTTAAAAATAATATATGTATTGTCTTTAAATAATTTAGAACAGTGGTTCTCAAACTTTTTTAGTTGCGGCACCCTTGTAGGACTAAAAATATTTCGAGGCACACCAACCCTTGAAGCGATTTTTGAAACGACAAAAAATGAAAAAAATACAATTCTGATGATGATTTGATTTCAATATAAACTTTATTTCAGATCAATAAAATACAATATATTTGATATTCAAATATCCTTACTTAATGTGATGAATGAAACTGTTTCGATCATGTTTTCATTACATCCTTTATGGGAATCTGAGTTCCCAGGTATTCACAAAATAGGATTCATCATCATCAATACACAAGCCAGTTCGAAACATTAATGATAAAATTTAGGAATTCATCACTTGAAAACTGCTTCCCCTTCAACCAATGGACTCTTTGCTTCACCACAATACTCAAAGATATCATTATCTAATTTCCATTTTTAAATGATATAAATAATTCGTCTTAAACCAAACTAAACATGGAAAAGCAATGGTACATTCGACCATTCTGTTATGTTTGTTTATACCATCGAGCAAAAAGATAAAAGAGGGAATGTAAAGGTAGTGGGGACAAAAATATTGTTAGACAGGAAGTGCTATCTTGAGAGGCCACTTTAAACAAGGATAGACTGTCTCTTTCCTTGTTTAAGAAGTCAAATTTAGTTTGGTTATGTTATTGTTTGTTCCAACTGTCACATGAAATTTTATTTATATTAAAGTTTTTTACCAATTGTGTCACTTTTAAGACTATTATCGTTAATATTTAATTAAAACTTTCTTGTCTGAAAAATATTTTACAGCTATTGTTAACAAGTGTTGGAAAATTTAAATTTAGCGCCTTTGCAGTTCCGGATATGCCCGCCATCAGAGGCCACTTTTTTGGTCTCCTTTTCATAACGATTAGATTCCCTCTTTATCTTTTTGCTCAATGGTTTATACCATTTATATCGGCCATGACACTGCAATCGACCCGCCCTCTACATTCAGTTTCAATCGCGAATAGTCAACACAACAAACATTTGTCGATACAAAAGTTTATACAACTACTATGAGATAAACAAATATTAGATGGCTATAATAATTTGTCAGCAATATATTCCACTGTCTCAAGGTTAATTGCAAGTTAAACTGATAAATAATATTGGGCTTATTGAGACTTCTGTTTTATAAAAAATAATTCCATAGTCTTTTGTTTTATTATTAGAATATACTTTAATGAGTTTCGTTCGAACACTATCTTAATTTATTTGCATTGTCGTTTTAAATATAAAATGAAAAAGTAGTTAGATATTTTAAGTAACTTAAGCCTATAAGAATAGAGGTGCTAGTTTTGATATTAAAATGTATATTTTTATAAGAATCTCTTGTGGTTACCTTCTGATAGTTTTTTTTTTTGTAAAATTCGTCTCATTATTGATAGTTATAAAGTAGGTAGGCACACGATAGTATACTTTTCCAATTTACAATAATATCTACATAAGTAAAGAGCAGAATTCTTAATAGGTATTTAACTAATGTGTTAATAATATCGGCTATTTCTGGAACGGTTAAATACACATCTTTGTCAATATCCATCTTAATATTTAAATCGGGGCTAGGCAACCAATAAATAAATGACACTGACAGGTAGTGATTAAGAGAATACTTGATATTTTGCTTACATGCAAGTTTGGTTGCCTATATTAGTATGATGCATTAATAGCAGAGGACGTTTATACCATTTTGTGTACTATAACCGGTCGATTGGAAAAAATTGTCTTGAGAGAAAAAAATTTAATACAGATATCTTCAGAGAAATGGAATGTCAACAATTTATTATCTCAGAAAAAAGATAGTGACCTACTGGCACAGAATGCAGAATAATAGCAACTGTTTTCTCTCAAAAGACCTCGAGTGCCATAGATCCAGCATGCTGGAGAGCAGGAACATATCGATGACAAGTTAAGGATTAACTCACACAAGTATTTTTAAAATCCCGTTCATATTGTGCCTACTTATAAAATTGTCTCTAATTACAAACAGTTTTATGTTATTTTGTTAATAAATATTGTATTAATCTTCACTTTTGTTCGAAATCGTATTTATTGTAGCGACTTCATTAAATTTATAATGTTTGTTTGGATTTTCAATATTTTTGAAAAGAATTTCCAATAATTTATGAAAACTGGTTTTCAATATTGAAATATTTTAAAATAGTGAATGATGATTGTTGTACATTTTGTATCTTACTCAAATTCACCTGTATAACACCGTGTCGTTCTGCTCGATTATGTATATATTTGGATATAAAGCAATTATTTTTGTATAACAAAATTTTAGACCTATTATGTTTGATTAGAATGCTTGTAAGTAACTTGTATTTTTTGTTTATTTATTTCCCTCAATTTTGTCAATTTTGTTGTTAATATTTGTTAATATTTTATTTGTTAATAAAGTATTTTAATGTTTGCCTTTATATACCCGTTATTTTATATAGAAAGTATCAAAATTCTTCGACTTCGACATCTTCGATAACTTAGACTTCAATAGTGGGTCTTCGGCAAAAATCAAAAGCTCTGTAAAATATGAAAGGAAGAAGATGGCAGTGTTTGATGATTTCACGACACAACTTCATATTTACATCCCCATTTTCCATTGGGATCAAAACAAACCCGTCATCCCCATTTCTGCGTAATATTTTCTCATCTACGTTCATAATTTCGATCTCTTCAGGAGTGTAAATAAAATTTCTTGATCTACAATGCAAAAGACAATAAACTGGTACATTTCTGGAATTCAAATTTTGAACTTGAATCCCCAAACCAGGAGTAGGAGTTAGTCCTCCATCTGCCAGCGAAGAGCACAACTCGAGTCGATCGGCGCTCCCTTGTAGAGCCACCAATGCCGACTTGTTGATTGCAGGCTGTCAACACAAACAAATTTGAGGCTGTTTTAGCAGTCAAAGCACACTGCCATTTAAAATGGGCATATTGCACTTACTTTTCTACAGTGCTTACGCCAGACCATCTTTACTCAGTGGCGCCGGCCGACGGCTAGTTTAATGACAACAAATGCATTATTCTCCATTCAAATTAGTTTTAACACGAACTAACTGCCCGTGCGTTCATGAAATTTGACGTCACTAAGGCGATAACGATGAAACTAAACGCCAATGATGAGTAACAGGTTTCACTATTAGATTTTAGTATTTTTTAGCAATTTTCTTCAAAGTTGGAACACGATTTTCTCGATTATTACTGGACACAGAAAGGTGAAAAAAATCAACGATTACAGAAAAAAACTCTTTCAAGTGATGGGCGTAAAAAGTTTGGTTATAGTAGAACGTTAAACAGTATAATCCAATTTTACACCAGAAGTTAAAAAAAAATAAAAAAAGTTAAACCATCGTTTTAAAGGCAACATAATGTCAAATAACGTTTCCAAATTTTGAGACATTTTGTCAGTAAAAAACAGAGTAAACACTGTCCCTAGGTTTTGGTGCATCGATAAAACAGCCTTACCCTTTGACATTGTCATATGATATCTGGGATGTTCAGCGAACGCGATCGATGTAGAATTTTGTATTAAAATACTTTACTTTTGTTTACTTCGTTGAAATTTGGGAACTGACATTCACCACGACCAGTAAACTTCACCGGCGTCGCTAGTTCACCGACCTTGGTTCAGCTCTCTGCTACATTCATACGCCATGCGAAGGGTTCAGTTTTCCTTTTTTTCCGCCAAATATTTCTTTTTAAAATCAGCTAATTCTTCGGTGACTCTTTGCAGGCCCGATTTGTATTCGCTTGCTTTTAAATCTACCATGTTTAGCTCGGTTGTCGAGCTACCACTTTCTGCAAATTCAGATCTCTTGGCCTGCTTTAACTACCTCTCTGTTTCGACGGCCAACGAACATTATTGTTGTAATATTTGTAGCTTCTGCAAGAGATTTAGAACTTCAGGATCCGATCCAGCCAGCTTTTTCCGTCACTGAATGTTGAGGGATTTTGCACCACTTGCCAGAGCCTTGCATTTACTCCAGAAAGTATCAACAAAAAAAAAAGAACTAAAATCAGCATCCACGGTATCTAAAAAAATAGGAAAAGTGCGAAAACGGAAGATAAACCCGAAATAGACACGAGGCATATTCATAGGAGCGTGGGATGTAAGAATCTTTTACGAAACTGGCAAATTGGAGCAAGTAAGCCAAGAGAAAAAGACTAACCTAAAAAATGAAAACTAGACATATAGAAGTTTTGACTTATAAAAACGCACTTAACTTATCTAACGTACTTTCATAAGATTCAAATTTCCATATCTTCAAGATATTTATAACATATTATAATAATAAAACCATCGGATATTTCGCGTTAAAAATACCAAAAAATTAGGTTGAAGAAAATTGAATTTCAAATGTCAAAATCGCTATACGAAAAAAAAATATGTTTTTGCTCGACTTCCAATAAAGCGATTTTCTTTATTTTTTCTTAGTCCGTCGTAAATCTAATAGAGCCATCTAAAAAAACGCATTACCAAATGCCTGAGATGCTTTAGTTTTGTTATAAATGAATTAGTTTATTGATACTCCAGTCGTCAGAGACGAAAATGCCACTGAACATCTAAAAATCTTACGAACAAGCTGAATTTGGGGAATTTTGGGATCCCAAAATTATGCTAAAAGGTTTACTACCCCGACTATTAGGAAAAAAAAAACAAAAAATCGGTTTACTAAGAATCTGTGCGTAGTAGAAAAAATATTTTAGATAAAAAATGTAGCTCAGACAATTTTCAACAATAATGTTCATTAGCACTTTTTATGTAAACCGTTCTCCCAAAAATATCGCTTGAAGCTACCCGCACGAAATCAATTTTATATAAAATTGTATCAATTCGACGTTAAAAATTCGATATCTTCATGTGTCTTACAAGTGTCTTATCTACAAAAATCAAAAAGCGTTTGAAGAGTTCAGATTGCTTATGTAATGTTTGGATTTTGCCGCAATTAAAGTCAGTTTTATAAAAGTGTTAAATAAATAAACGTTGCGCGTTTTTTGCATTTTTTACGATTTTTATGAGATCATTAAAATATATCACTTTTCACTATGGAATAATTTTATAATTAAAACTGGAAATAAGTTTTAATCCCTTTACCCCTGTTGCTGATACGCCCATGACCGTATCCGCAAATAGATATGCGGGTGAGCTCTCTCACCCTTAGCAAATTTTATTGGAACATACCGACTATCACGGAGTTCTCAAAGTACGGATGGTCGTACTCATCAAACGAGGTCGAAGTAAATTATTTTATGGTAGAGCTTTGTTAACATTTTTCGGTTCCAGGTGGGTACTTTTTGATAACTTTGGTGAACACAGTCGTAAAAGCTACTAATAGTATCTTTCTGAAAGAACCTAATTCAAAAGGTTCTACCTTTTCTCACAGTTGCCAACTACAAGAGTCCCGTTACTTACCTAGAACCGTTCTATGTTCGAATATCTTCCTAGACATGGAAACAGCCAGGCCTTCTTTTAGGAGGTTGTCATTATTAAGTGGGGGATATCCCAATTTTTTTTTGGAAGCTTGTTAAATTTTGAGAGGAAGAAAATGACTCTGGGCAGGACAGTATTCGAGTAAAGACGCTTGTTTATCTTACCGTTCCCTGTGAATTTTTTCTTTAAGTGTGTCTTTGAAATATCTTAATCTAATACCATATTAGATTAAATTGTTATAAAGTACCTTCATTTTGATTAACTTCAGTGCTTGATGCTAGTGAAGTATAGTAGAATTTCTTGAAAGTTTCCTCTTGCTGCTTGGGCGGATGATAGTCCGGTGGCTGTCGTCCAGAGTGTGGATTTGTACGGTGGAGCGATAACTTTGGGGTGTGGTCGACTTCTCGCAATTCTTTGGACTTGAATTTCCAGATATTCTATGTGTTTTTGCACATATAATAATTTGCTGTATGTTCCTCTCCGCAGTTGCAGCATCTGACTTGTTGAGAACTCCTTTTGGTAGTGGGCAGTTTCTTGTTAAATGGTTATGTGCACATTTCATGCACCTAGGAGTCCTAAAACAATTCCTTGCTGAGTGTCCGAAAGCCTGGCAATTGTAGCACTGGGTAGCCCTGTTTGGTTTTGTGTAGGAGTCCCATTTAATACTGATGATTTGTATTCCATTTATCTTCTTGACTTCTTTTAAATCTTGCTGTTATCTACTTGAAGTAGATAGGAACTGCTAATTTTGCCCTGCTGAGTCTTCATTTTCGTGATTTTAGCGACGATTCCTTGTTCTCTTAATTCGTCTTCCATATCATCTTAGTCCATTCCTGGGGCGGCCTTCATGACAAGCTTCTTGTGACTTCAGATTTCTTCTTGTACGTTTGAAATGCAACCAATTCTTGATTGGTTTTTGTGAAGACTCTCGTTCCCGCCTTTCCCGCTGGTGATATTTGTTGAAGTTATTGTGGCCCAATAACTCTCTAATTTCCTTTATGAAAGTTAAGTAGCTTCCAATTTATCCTGCAATCATTATCAGTGGGATCCTTTCTTTTTCGTAGTGGTTTTTTCCTCTGTGTTAACCGTTTCCAGTACCTGGTAACGGTTCATCGTCGTTACTCCTGTTCCCGCGCTTGTGGATGCACGTTGTCTTGCCTCTTTAATGTTTTCTCTGGAGTTCCTCCTGTTGCATTTCACGGCCTGAAAGGGTTCCTCGTCCATTATCTCGATGTTATTTTGAGATATTATTTCTAATATCTAGTTTTCTAAAGTAAAAATGTTGGCGTCGTTATTTTGTAACTCCTTGTCCTGGGTGGTCCACCTCATCGTGATGGCCTGAATTTCTTTGTTTTGAATAATCTTCTGTGGATTGGAAAATCCTTCCTGAAAGGATTTGAATCTGAAATTAAAGTTGTTATTTTATTAACAAATCATTTTTATCTATTATCTATTTATTTAACCATTGTTGCTTTATGTCCTACAATAAAATCCAATTCAATATAACAATTTCCGAATCTGCGTCCATCTGTTAGCGAGCTATTGAACTTAATAAAAGTTCATCAGTAACATAAGTAGAGATATGTTCAATAAAGTAATAACACAATATGTGTTAATTTATATAAACATATTTAAATAAATAACCAATTTTTAATATTTCGTACGTCAATATTTTCTATATTTTCATATAATTTTTTCAATGTACGCATTAAATTACAACTTCTTGGTTACAAATCACACCCATAGATGGTACACCGACTTCGTTATTTTTCACAAATATAATCTACATTTATGTACAATTGTAATTTTATTTTTTGCTGATTGCGGCTTTGTTGGCTTCAGCTCAGCATTCAGCTTCCATTCGCTTCATTAAGGATAAGGTAGGCAGTGAGAGTAGATAGTGAGAGTGAGTGAGTAGTGGGAATTGTATGTTCGCAATATAGTTTTACAAGCAGTTAAGGTTAGGTATTTATTCGTATTAAATATATTTT